TTTTAGTATAAGTATGTCCTGTACAATAATAATACAGTATTAAATGACTATTTTTTGTTGAAGATGAGAAGGCCACTATTGTACCTCCTCCACGACCTCTAAATTCTATTCCTTACAGCTTTTCACTTGCTGTTTGATTAGGGGGAAGGGGAGGCAGCCCCTGATATCTGGAAGCTAGCAGAGCATTCAGGCCATGTTCTTCTGTTGGACATAAACTCACACAACATTAACCTAAGACAAAGTCACTAAGAGACTGATGAAGTGAGACAAAACAGACCAATTTATAATTTTGTCTAATCATAGATTTAAAAAAAAGTCACCGTGTCACTCAGAAAACACCAGACACCCCCTCTCTTGGCCAAAATGGGTGACTGCTACTTTATCAATTATAGCTTTATTCCTGCTCTCCTCTGCCCTCCCTATAGATAAGATTTATTGAGATGCCCAATCATACAATTGCCCCTGCTTTCTGACAGCATCTGATCTAGAAGGAACTCCCCTTTCCTTAGATCATCCCCTAAATCGCCCAAATACTACAATAGGTTCTTTCTAACGTCCTCTTACTGAAACACCCCCCAGTTCCCTATGGTGTGCTTTCTCCCTCCCTGCAAAGAATAATAAACACAACTTGTCAACTATGGGTATGTTCCTGGTGATCTTTGGTTGAAGGGCATTGACATGTTCCACTGCCTAGAATGTTCTTCCCCAGATATTTGCATAGCTCTTTCCCTTACTTTATTCTGTTCTTTCCTCATACATCTTTTCAGAGAGGTCTTCCCCAACCACACTATTTACAGTGGCACCTGATCATTCTCTATCCCTTTACACTGTTTATTTTTCTTCACAGCATTCATTACTATCTGATATTATACATTTAGATAATATATGCACATATGTTTATTGTATGTATCTCCCATTAGAATCTAAGTTTCATGAAGACTGGGACTTTGTCTTTTTTTTTTAAGATTTAATTTATTTTTTGACAGAGCGAGTGAGAGAGGAAACACAGGCCGGGGGAGTGGGAGAGGGAGAAGCAGACTCCCCACCGAGCAGGGAGCCTGATGCGGGGCTCTATCCCAGGACCCTGGGATCATGGAACTTTGTCTTTTTGACTGTATCCACACTGCCTACAACATTGCCTGGCACAGAGTCGGTATTAAATGATACGTATTTAATGAACATATGAACGAATGGGTTTTTATTGTGTCAGGGCTTAAAACAGTTTCATTCTGTCACATATTCATTGTTTGGTCTTATTCCTCCATTTAAATAGACTGGCTCACTGCAAAATATCCTTTCTTAATTTTTTATTTTGACTCATTTCTTATTTGATTTTATTTCACATTGCCAAGTAATTTTTCACAAAGAACTCATGGGTAGTATATTCCCTCATTTTTTTTCATATTTGAAATAAGCTATCTGGTTGTTGTTGTTGTTTGATAGATTCTATTATTGTTAGCAATTGTCCACTCCCTCTTTCCCATTAGGAGGGTTATCTATCCCTATCTAATTGACTTTGGAAGGTTTTAAGAAGAAAAAGAGAAGCAGCAGTATCAAGTCACTTAAAGAGCAAATTGTTAGGATTAAGTAGAAAAGGGGATAGAGATGAACAAGCAAATGTATATTCAGCACTTATTAGGTACCAGACACTCGTTCATTCAACATTAAGTAGTCATATTTATCCACCTTTGAGTGGATCAAGTCAGGCTTCACAGGTAAGTTAGTGCTTGAATTGCATCTTTCTGGAAGACCAGGCACTTGGCCAAACAACAGGAGAGACAAACTGTGGATATGAAAGGAATGGTTATCCCAAGCTCAGGGTTCCTGGCACGGACATGGAAGCAGTCAACAGCGTGACATAGTTTGGAAACTGAAACTCAAAACAATTCTATGGGAAGGTATTATCTCTATTATACAGGGACTGAATGAACGTCATTTTTTAAATCTTTTATCATCATCCATTGAATATATATTAAGCACCCACAAGATTCTTGGCATATTAACACAGGAGAGGACAGTTGCTGCCCTCAAGAAATCCATAATCAGGGGTACCTGGGTGGCTCCGCCGGTTAAGCGTCTGCCTTTGGCTCAGGTCATGATCCCAGAATCCTGGGATCGAGCCCGCTTCTCCCTCTCCCACTCCCCCTACTTGTGTTCCCTCTCTCGCTGTTTCTCTCTGTCAAATAAATAAATAAAATCTTTTTAAAAATTAAAAAATTGAAAAAAAAGAAATTCATAATCAAGTTCAAACAAGGCAAGCAAAACACTGACAATGTGGTTATAAAACCTAACTGAGGGCGCCTGGGTGGCTCAGTTGGTTAAGCGACTGCCTTCGGCTCAGGTCATGATCCTGGAGTCCTGGGATCGAGTCCCACATCGGGCTCCCTGCTCAGCAGGGAGTCTGCTTCTCCCTCTGACTCTCCTCCCTCTCATGCTGTCTCTCATTCTCTCTCTCTCAAATAAATAAATAAAATCTTAAAAAAAATAAAAAAAAAACCTAACTGATTCCATTATCATCCAATCAAAAACCTTTCCAGAATGTGAAACAATTGATACCTTTAAAATCTACTGGGTTATTTGAAGTAGGCTTAAGTCTGCAGATAAAAAGAAAGTGAAAGGTGAAATGACTGGTCAAGAAACAGAAAATTAACGAAACTTTCCAATGATCTTGTCCAAAAGGCAATCATTAAGGCCACTCAAATTTCTTGGTCTGCTCTGCTTTCCTGCAAGAAAATTCCCTTCCTGATCATTGAATCCCCTTTGGTTATAGGTAGCTTTTAAATTTTAATTTAGTTTTTGCTGGGCTGGGGGGTGAGGGACATGGCCAGAAGGGAAGAGAAGGTTTCCTGTGCTTTGAACCAACAGATTTTCATCATACCTTAGTTGGGGCTCCACATTTTAAAAGCCCTTTCAGGAAAGGGGAAAAGGCAAGGTGCTGGTAATGCTGGTGCAAAAGAAATGATATCATGTCTTCCAGTTTACTGAGAGGTAACCAGCAAACATTTGATACGAAGAGTGCAGCTACTGCCACTGTGATCTGTATTTCAAAGATACATCTCATTCTAGTTTTAGTCAACTAAGCTACTGAAAGGCAAATAGATCCTAAATTTTCAAGAAGTACTTTGTCCTGGTTCCTAAAAACATTTTTTTTTTTTTTGCTCCTAAATTTTGGGCAAGGATGACTCAAGAAAATGGTCATTAATGGTCATTAATCTGCTAACTAGTTTTGTTAAATCTGCTAACTCATTTTGTTTAAGTGCTCAGTTCCAGGAAAATACTAACCATCTGCTTTAGTTTCCTTTATAACAGTGTACTCCATTTTCCTGTGAAATGTCTTTATATTAAACAATGAAACTCATAATTTTAAGTTCTAATTTTAAAAACCCCAATAATGCAGTGATTCTCACATTGTTTTCTCACAATACAAAATCTTGAAGAGCCTAAGGAATTTCATGTGGATTTCTTATTTCCATGTGAAAATACAACTGTAGTACACCACTTTGGTATTTTTCTATGTGGCTTTACTTTATTGAGGAGAATGTAGAATCGATTAGGGATGGATAGATGGTGACATTCTTGTCTGATTTCATGTTGAAAAAATTAAATATAGTTAGATTTGTTTTCATTCTGGAATATCCCGATGGACATTTTCAGCAAGATTTTTGTAGGAAGGAAGCACAGGGATTCTGACTGAAAGATAAACAGGTGCAAATTCACGTTTTGGGGGATGGATGCAATATTATCCTGTACGTATTTTTTTAAAAAGAAAATGAAGGTAGTGAATGGCCTTAATTGTTGAAGAAAAAAAGCAGTATTTTGGCTCCTTAGTTGGATACGATCAATAACCAGTGTAAAGGGAGAGATTTTGCTCTCCAAACACCCATTCTGTTGTTTCGTTCATCATGGTACTCAGAAGTGTATTACCGGAGGGTTTTAAAAAATTACCACGACTCATTCATTTATTCATTCATTAAACAATTATTGAACACCGACTGCATGTCAGACACTAAAACCCCCTGAGGAGGAAATGCTATGTAAATAAAAATTATAAATTAACAATGCAAGTATTAATTTAGGGGCTCAGTGGTTGAGCGTGCGCCTTTGGCCGGGGCTCAGGTCGAAATCCTCAGATCAAGATCCTCGGATCCTGGCATCCAGCCCCTCCGCGTGGTCCCTGCTCAGCGGGGGGTCTGCTTTACCCTCTCTCTCTGCCCCTCCCCCCACTAGCGCGCGCGCGCTTTCTCTCAAATGAGTAAAATCTTAAAAAAAAAAAAACCAATGCAAGTTAATTTATTCCTCTTTCAAGATACAGCTCAAATGGGGACATTTAGTTTGCTATTGCCTTCTCTGTGTTCTATACCTTGTACTAATACTTTTGTCGACGTTTGTGTAACCATCTACTGAGCTCTTTGGACAGGGAGAGACCTTGGCTTACTCATTTTCGTATTCCACCACGCCTAAATTAGATTTGGTATAGCTCAAACAGGTGGTCAGTAAACGGTAGTCGAAGCGAAGGAATTAAGATAGTACTGCATCCTTTAGTCTTCAACTTAGAAGACAGTCTAGTGTCCAAACCCTAGACTTATTTCTTAAAAAGTTATTGTAACGTCGTTGTTAACTTGTCATCCTGAGTCGATCAATTCGACTTTATATTTATTCAGATTTTATTGCAAGGTGGTTTATCGTCTAAGAAACGGGCTAATCGAACAGTTTTCAAACTTGCAAAAGAAGTGAAACTCGTACGGTCTCGAAAAGTTTTCACGCCCTAGGAGCTTGCGCCGAATTTAGGATCCCAACCGCCCGTGACTGACGGCATTACCCCATCTTTCCCTTCCCTTTTTCCCACCCTTTCGCCCTCCGGAAAGGGCCGAACGCTCCCAGAGCTTCCCAGTCTCACTCCGCCCCCTGCGGAAAGAGCCGAAGGTAAAGCCGGGCGCCGAAACGAGCGGATTAGAGCTCGGGCCCTTCCGGAAAGACCCGAACTTCTCTCGGAGGAGGAGGGCGCCTTCGACTTCGGCGTTGCGCCTTCTACTTCGGCGTTGCGCCCCCGCGCTGTGCCCTCTGTCGGTGGCGTGGGGCAGCTATAGCAGTGGTGGCGGCAGCCGCGTCGACGTCGACCAAGACTGGAGCGACGTTTAAAGAAGGAGCCGAGTCGCCGCGGAGTCCGGCTTCTGGTTGTTGGAGGGCTCCCACCCGTCCGCGCGGCCCGACGAGGAGAAGCGGCGGCGCCGGGAAGCAGGTGAGGACCCGGCCCGGTGCCGGGAGGGGCGAGGGAGCGCGCCCGCTGCCTCCGTCGCTGGGCCGCGCCTGCGTTTGCATTCTCCTCACTTGAACCAGGAAGCGGCGGAGTCGGAGGCTCCGCTCCTCCGGCCCTTTCTTTGTGTGGGCCCGGGAGCGAAGGAGGGGACGAACCCGGAGGGCCGCGGCGCGGTCCCCTCCGCCGTCAGGGGCCGAGGGGCTGCCGGTGCCCTGGGTAGGCCCGGCGCGTGGGGAGCCCACCACGGGGACCCACTTGGCTTTTTCCTCGCCCTCCGCCTGCCTTTTTGTGCCTCCTTTTCTCCTCCTAGCCCCTACTTTGATTTAGAGCTTTTCTGCCCGGCCCATCCTCCCCTTCGTCCCCTTCCCAGGGCATAACAATGCCGCCCGCTTGGCCTCATCCCCTCCCAACACCCCACCCTCCCGTTCGCCACCTTCTACTTTCCCCGGCTTGCCGGCGGACCCCCGCCCTGGCGGTGCCGTTCGTACCTCCATCAGGATTTGCAGGAAGCTGCCTTTTCGCGTGAATTGGGGTGAAAGAAAAAAAAAAAAAACCCTCGGTTGCAGCCGGCTGGGTGCAAATGGGGAAGAGGGGGTGGAGTAAGGAAGATGGGGTTCAGCTGCCGCAGGGAGCCGCGTGTCGGTTGGCTTTACCCGCTCGCGGTTGGCGTTTCTCTATTTTCCACCTTCACCTGCCCTCAGTCAAGGGTTTGTCTCACAGTGATGCGGAATGGCTTTTCCGTAGGCAGGTCGCAGATCTCGGGGTGGGTTCAGAGCGATTTGTGCCGTTCCCGGGCCCACCCGGACGGGGAAAAGCGGGAGGAGATCTAAACAAAATGAAACCAATTCCCAGTGTCACCTGGACACGTACGTTTGATGCATTGCCCCCTTCCAGGGACCCATTTGCAAACGACAAAAATTGTATTCGGAAAACCTATCTACCTACTTAAAAGCGACTTCTGTCGAAATCCCCGTATTTCGGAAGCCCTGGTGGCTGGCTTGCTGTCCAAAGGTCACCCTTTCTGATGAGTGCCTTTAGGGTAACCTGGAATTCCTTGGTACTGTTAAACGAGCAACGCCTTATTTCAAATCCTCATTTCTAGACTTTTTGCCTACTTTTTGTTTTTAAGCTGCAGTTTTGAAAATTTCGAAGATGCTTGAGACGCCCCGCCTTCCACGTGTATATAACTTGAGCACTGTGACGACAGTGCTACTCTTTTGGTAACTTTAAAGGGAAAGAATATTAGCAATAAAAGTGTTTCTCTACCTAAAGTACTTATCAGCCAATTGTTTATATATATATATATATATATATATATAGATATATATATAAAAATTATATATTTAATACATGTATATAATATTAACTAATCGGCACCCTTGTTACTGCTAATGTATTCTGTGACGGGCAAAAAAAGAATGTTTTGGGAGTGGTACACAGCATTGCTCTTTACTGACCCCCCCCTCCCTTTTTTTAGAGTAACCGCCTGCTCTGTTCCAATAAGTTTATGTTTTCATTTTCACTAACACATCTGGTATAAAAAAAGTTCTCATACCAGTGCGCATAATTCTTTACCAGCAAATTGAAATGTTTCGTGTTTTCATGCAAATAAGCATTAAGAAATGGTGACCTTTCCTTTGTCTTATTTTTTTCACAGTACCATCTGTTGACTTCGCTTGGCACTCTAACATTTCACCTCTGGAGATTGTAAGAGTAGAGAGGTGAGGGGAAGGGGCAAGGAGATGATGAAAGGGGCGAGGGTAAAAAAGGTGGTTCATAGTTTATCTAGGTGAGGCACCCCAATTTAAATAACAGAAAACTGACGGGCAGTCTAGAGGTCATAACCTGTCAGTGTTTATAAACACTTATTCGGTCATTGGCTGTAGGGAGTAGCTTTTGAATGTGTTCTTAAAAGATCTGTTAAATTTTAGGAGGAGTATAGAATGATGTTGCACACAGCAAGCTTTTCTGACACTTAAATCATTCATTTACAGGTGAAATAACTTCTGTGTGTTCACGAAGACTTTTTCTTAAAGTTTTAAGACCATTAAAAATGAACTCTTTAAGTCTTCTTGAGGACAGAACCTAAAAATGGAACTAAGAAAATTAGTTCTAATCTTAAAAAAAAAAAATTGCTTAGTGGTGACGCATGTATCTGAGATTCAGAGGAAGAGATTACCGTTCAGATCTGTAGATCAATTAAAAACTCGCTTGTCTCTTCTCAGGGGGAAGTCATGAGATTTGATGCATGGTCCAAAAGCCAGCCTGTATGAACAATTTATATACAAGCCAAAAAGTTATGCCAAACTTCAGTTAAAACTTGAATACACTATTTAGTGATGCTGCAGCTTACATTCTGAATGATAAAAGTACTTCTTGTTTTTCTTTTCTAATCCTCTCCCACCCCTTCCTCCTCCCTTTCTCTTACAGGCATGGAGAGTAGAAAACTGATTTCTGCTACAGACATTCAGTACTCTGGCAGTCTGCTGAACTCCTTGAATGAGCAGCGTGGCCATGGACTCTTCTGTGACGTTACCGTTATCGTGGAAGACCGAAAATTCCGGGCCCACAGGAATATTCTCTCAGCTTCTAGTACTTATTTCCATCAGCTCTTCTCAGTTGCCGGGCAAGTTGTTGAACTGAGCTTTATAAGAGCAGAGATTTTTGCCGAAATTCTCAATTATATCTATAGTTCTAAAATTGTTCGTGTTAGATCGGATTTACTTGATGAGTTGATTAAATCAGGGCAGCTGTTAGGGGTTAAATTTATAGCAGAGCTTGGTGTCCCATTGTCACAGGTTAAAAGCATCTCAGGTACATCTCAGGACGGTAATGCAGACACCTTACCTCCTGGTTCTAGTGACAAGAACCTTGAAATACAAAAATCAAAAGATGAAGCCCAAGATAACGGGGCCACTATAATGCCTATTATAACAGAGTCTTTTTCCTTATCTGCTGAAGATTACGAGACAAAAAAGATCATTGTTACTGATTCAGATGATGATGACGATGACGTCATTTTCTGCTCTGAGATTCTGCCTGCAAAGGAAACTTTGCCGAGTACCAATGCAGTGGCTCAGGTCCAGCCTAACCCAGGTTCTGTTGCCATTTCAGATGTTGCACCTTGTGCTAGTAATAACTCTCCCCCTTTACCAAATCTCACACCTACTCAGAAACTTCCTACTTCTGTGAATCAGGCAACTCTGAGCCAGACACAAGGAAGTGAAAAATTGCTGGTATCTTCAGCCCCGACACATCTGACTCCCAACATTATTTTGCTAAATCAGACACCACTTACTACACCACCAAATGTTACTTCTTCACTTCCAAATCATATGTCTCCTTCAATCAATTTGCTTGTGCAGAATCAGCAGACACCAAACAGTGCTGTTATAACAGGAAACAAGGCCAATGAAGAGGAGGAGGAGGAAATTATAGATGATGATGATGACACTATTAGCTCCAGTCCAGATTCGGCGGTCAGTAATACATCTTTGGTCCCCCAGGCTGATATCCCCCCAAATGCCACTTTTGATGGATCGTTGGTACAGAAGATGCAGATACCTACACTTCTGCAAGAGCCACTTTCCAATTCTTTAAAAATTTCAGATATAATTACTAGAAACACTAGTGATGCAGGCTTAGGATCAAAACATCTAATGGAGGGTCAGAAGATCATTACTTTAGACACAGCTACTGAGATTGAAGGCTTGTCAACGGGTTGCAAGGTTTATGCAAATATTGGTGAAGATACTTATGACATAGTGATCCCTGTCAAAGATGACCCTGACGAAGGGGAGGCCAGACTTGAGAATGAGATACCAAAAACATCTAGCGGTGAGACGCCCAACAAACGTATGAAAGTAAAACATGATGATCACTATGAGTTAATAGTAGATGGGAGGGTCTATTATATCTGTATTGTGTGCAAAAGGTCATATGTCTGTCTGACAAGCTTGCGGAGACATTTTAACATTCATTCTTGGGAGAAGAAGTACCCTTGCCGTTACTGTGAGAAGGTATTTCCTCTTGCAGAATATCGCACAAAACACGAAATTCATCACACAGGGGAGCGAAGGTACCAGTGTTTGGCCTGTGGCAAATCCTTCATCAACTATCAGTTTATGTCTTCACACATAAAATCAGTTCATAGTCAAGATCCTTCTGGAGACTCAAAGCTTTATCGTTTACATCCATGCAGGTCCTTACAGATCAGACAATATGCATATCTTTCTGATAGGTCAGGCGCTATGCCTGTAATGAAGGATGATGCTATTGGGTATAAGGTTGATGCTGGGAAAGACCCTGCAGTAGGGCCTGCACCTCCTCCTCAGAACAAGCCAATGACCTGGGAAGATATTTTTATTCAGCAGGAAAATGATTCAATTTTTAAACAGAATGTAACAGATGGCAGTACTGAGTTTGAATTTATAATACCAGAATCTTATTGAACTTTGAAATCTCAGAAAGTTTGGTTTGCATTCAGGGGCAGGGGTTTCAAAAGACCTGTAAAACAAATTAAGGTGAAAACGAGTTCATTTCATCTGCCACGTCATCTGAAGGCAGTCTAGTTGGATTATTTGTTGATAATTTTTAGAAGCAAATTATTCTGAAAGTTTGAGTAGAGAGTGAGAAGTTCCCCCCCACCCCGAGTATCTGTTTATATAGTTAGCTTTCAGCTCGTTTTAAAGAGGCAAGAAGAAAAAAAGCTTGGAGAGATAGTTTCCTGAATAGAATTTGAAGCAGTCTGAATGTTCTTTGAAAATAACTGGAGTTATTAGCATACCCTAGTTTATCTTACAACTTTCCCCTTCCATGTTAGCACTTTACTGCTGAATTCTCAATTACCTTAATATTGAGACTATAAATGTGTGTTGTGTTTTGGATGTGGCATAAAAAGTAAACAAGAACTTCTAAAGTTGTTCTGGAAAATTTCAGAGTAAGTCTCTGCTTGGTTGTGTATTCCACTAGTCCAAATGGATAGCAACCTCCTGCCTCCCTCCCGCCGTGAAAATGGCTGTGCAGACAAGTGTCTCATCTGAAGAAAGAGTTTTAGCTAATTAGAATTGAGTTTTGCTTTTATTGCCATCGTCTGGAAAAGACTTTGGTGGCTGGACTACTATATATATACCTTTGCAGTTGTGGTCTCTGTGGGCAAAAATGTTAATGGAAAACAAATCTCTGTATTGCAGACAGGAGGAGAGGAGAAGTTCTGTTGCGTTTGTTTTGAAGTCTTTATTCTTACATGATAGAGAGTGGAAGTGAATGGAGAGTTCCTTTTTTGTTCATATGGTTAAAAATGTTCCCTTGAGAAATTTCAAAGTTCGAATCCGAAAGCCACCAAATAAATCTTTCATTATGTATAAATCTTTATAAATGATAGATTCCATAAATGAGACTCCTACATATTTTAGGCAGGAGGCTACTGGTATATATTTTTAAATGTTCATATTACTTAGAATTTCTAATAGAAAGTTTTCATTTGAAATAGTTGAATCCATGATCTAGTGTTTTCCTTTCACAAGACCTTTTAGGTTTTTACCCTTTCTAAAGTAAGTTCCATTCCATCTGCAAAGTGCTGCAATATTATAGCAATCAGAAACTATATATGGAATGTTATATAGGCTTGTTGATTCCCGTTTATCTTGAGAACAATACGTGTACCTTTCTTCCTTTTCAAGTGACACATATTTAAAACACTTAGAAACTAAAGTCAAAACTCATTGAAGTGCTAGTACTAAAAGGAAGCAGGTTGGAACAAATATATAGCCTAGCCTTTATAACAGGATTAACGTGTTGAACTTCTGTAAATTACTTTTTGCAAAGGAAAAAGATTAATAGATACTGAAAAAGATTGTTGTGCATAGTCGTTAGTCCTTTGTAACCTTGCTTAAATATTTCTTAACATAGATATTTTCTTTCTCTTTAACTACGTATTTTTAAAAACAGTCTATTTCTTGACTTTGAACTTAAAGCTTTAATCATAATTTTTCATGTATACATCATTCTTCTGATGGTAAGCTAGATTTGAAGATAATGGTTTCAGTGTTTCAGTTGGTAGTGGAGGGTATCAGGCCTCAGTATTTGCAATAATACAAGAAGGAAGAAAAATATTATAATCCTTTGCTTACCGAGGGCTAGAATGATGTGCATCTGTCTGTTTTCTGTTCTGTGAGTCTAGACGTTTAAACCGTTTTGTGAACTAATCCTTGGAGAAGTTTAAGTTAACCTTAGAACTTGACTCTGATCTCTGGAATCACAATATCTGTTTCCGTTCTGTGCAGATATTGACAACATTACTCTTTGACTATAAGGTGCACTCAGAAATATTTTCAGTGGAAATTTGTTTTGAGTTTCATTAATGCTGTTTCACCAGTTAGACATAATTACTTCTGCAAGCGTGAATGATACTGATGGCCAGCAGAGCTTCCAGACCTTTCAAAGTTAACTGCTAGGAAAATTAGATGATCATAATAAAACTTGAGAGTGTCTAACAAGGCTATTATGACAAACCAGGAATTGAGTCTGTAAGGGAAAACTATCCATTCTGAATAATATGGATGTAATTATTTGCTGCTGCTGTGCTCTGTGTCAATTCTGAGTATACAATTTAAACCCTGTGCCTAATGAAGGTGTCTTCTAGAGTTTTTTTTGGGAGAAGGAAAACTGGAAAGTTAACTTGTATTTTTGCCAGAAGACTCTTCCTTGCATGTATGTCAAGGTCTTCAGTTTTTTCAGAAGTTTCTATATCCAAAGTTAAGAATTCGTGTGAACTACTCCTTTGGGGCTGAAACCATTCACTCCCAGTGTTTATTGGGTTGGAAATCTGTAGCAAGATTCTGTTTAAAACTTACCGTGGTGTTTTCCTATTTCATACTTAGCTTTCTGGCTACTAAATTCCTTCTTTTTTCTTTCAAGTTGGCTGCAAATTTGCTCCTGTGCTAAATTACCTGTAAACCTTCTGGATAGGAACTGTTTGAAATAGCAATTTGTTGAAAGAGAAGACAGAAAATGAAAATGCCCAAACTAAGCAAAGATTTTAAAATGCCATAGCAATCTTGCAAGATTTACTTTAAAAAATACTTTTTGGATGATCATTATCATCTCAGTGGTACTGATCCCCCACATGCAACTACTATGAGGAATTGATGTTTTCTTCTTTCCATTGTACCAAAAAGATAAATGGTTAAAAATGGTCAAGGTATTTTGTATTGTCAAGGCATGCCTAATCTAAAGGATTAAATGTTAATTCAACAGCCCTGGCTTCCTCACCTCTGTCAATCATACGAAACCTTGTTCATTTCCACCCAATACTGTAATGTTCATACTTGTACAATCTTTCTTATCATATGACTTTAAGTTCTACTTTTCATTAACCATTACCTGGTATTAGTTTGTAGAGCTTCTTATGGCAAAAATAAAATGTTATAATTCTGATTTTTGAGTGTATTTTTTACAAGATTATCTTTCAGAAATGATACAGACTTGGAGGGCCTGGCTTGCTCAGTTGGTGGAGCATGCGGGGGGAGGTGGGGTCGTGAGTTCAGGCCCCACATTGGCAGTAGAGCTCACTTAAAAAAAAGAAATTACATAGACTTTACTAGTCTGTTGCTTTTCGGTTTCTGTAGTAGGAGACTGGGGCTATTTCTGATGACAGCATAACAGAAGTTTCTACTAGGTCTGTAGGGGTGCTGACCATACTGACTCCATCTTTGGCTCTCCATTTTGTTCATGTCTGTGCAGTGACCTCCCTTGGGGCCACGTGTCCCAGGCCCCTTGGAGGTTAACGTATGACTGGAATGCGGGAAGGCTTGTTTTGATCTTTCCTAAAGTTGTGTAAACAACTAGGAGCGCTAACAGTTTCTTCCCCTCCCCTCTGGCACACAGATGGCACCACTTTAGATAGCTACACTTTGACCTCACCACAATGCTGTATAAAATCTGTGGATTAAGGTCCAGACTTCGTGGAGTATAGCTGTTGTAGTGCCTGGATTGTGGTGGTCTGCTCCATTCTCCACCCCCCCAACCCCCGTCAGTAAGTTACCCTGAGTAAAACTCTGTCAGCGGTATGGCATGGCTCGCTTCGCTTGCTTCATTGTTTGGTCTCAAAATGCCTTCTCAGTCTGGAGGATGCTTCACTGTCTCTCTTCTACCTTCTACCAGGTTTTATATGTTGGTTCATCGCATCCCCATTGCACCTTGGACCATAATAGTCAAAAGTGAGCGGGCTGTTGTCAGTTGCTTTGGAGCGTTCATGATACTTTTGTAGGTTCCATGAAGACGCGTGTAAGTGGATAAGGAGGAGGGTAGTTTTATTAATTTGAAACATCACAAAAGCAGTCTGGGTTTCCAACATGGCAGTGATACAGATTTTAAGCAACATCCAGTTTATACAGGTTCTGGATTAATATTTTAATGTTTCATGCCCAGTTCAATACTTGAAAGCAGAATTAGGAATAAAGCAGTAAATATTACAAAATGCAGTCAAGGTACATATTGGAAATACAAATTCCTTCATTACAGCAAATGTTTTGCAAAAGAGTAAAGCAGCAAATATTAATTTTTCTAAGGTAACATGCACTTTATATAATTCAATGTAATAAAAAAAGAAGCTGCTCAAATTAAGTGTTACAAAATCTATTCTGTTTCAAGTTATTTTGTAAAGTAAGAAAAGTACATAGAAATGAGTCAGAGTCTCAACACTTTAAGAAATGTGATAAATGTAGGATATACTGTGTAATGGTGCCTCTTAAAAAATTAAATACTCATACACGTTCACTAAAGCAAAAGGTACAGTGTAAATGGCAAAAAATTTCATTGAGTATTACAAGTTGGTATTTGTATAGTAAGTCAATCGGTTATTAGTCCCTTTTTGAAATCCAATAGAATTTAATATGCTCAGAACTGTAGAAAATAATAGTAATTTTATATAACGCAAAAGGATTCTAGTGTTCCCGATTTGAACTCTGGATGAGACATCATTCGCGATGCCGAAAATTAAACTGAATGCTTTGCAAACACTTACTGTGAACAATGTGTGCACTTGTTGTGCCTTGATAATTCTTGATGGCTGGGTGTCTACAAGGTAGATGGGAGCACCAGCATTTGCCTGCTACCTCTAATCCATCAAGTCGGGAGGTAGCGAAATTGGCCGGAAAATTTTCCCGTATGCGTTCTGTGTTTGCAGAACTATCTAATTAGGTACCCTCCTGTAGCCCCTGTATTTTTACGTCATACAAGTGTAGGATTATCCGTCTTCCTTTAAATCACTCCAGTTCTCAGGTTAACATAAGATCGCAGTGAAAGTGTTGGTTCTGAAGTGAAGGCATGGGTGCCAAAGTGTTAAATTCGTCAGGTGGATGGTTTAAAGCTATGCTTAATTAAAAGAACTGTACAAACACCTACCACAATGTGCTAGATGGATTTGAAATTTACGGTAATACCTAAGAATTTGTCAAGTTGGCTACTTTTGAGGTTTTGCAGATTTAAAGCGGCATTGTAACACTTTCATAATCTTGAACACTGTCATGATTGGTCTCAACAGAAAAAAGGACCAATAAGAGCAGTGGCATTAGAATACAGATGATTCTTTTGGGGTGGGGTGCGGGATACGTGCGGTTTGCTGGGATGGAAGCACAATATTTGAAGATTAAATAGTCACAAAGATTAGTAACAATTCATCATCACCACCCAAGAACCTAACCTAGCGTTTTTAACTCTGAATTTTAACCGTAAGATCTCCCATAGCCAATGTCTTTTGTAATACTGCACCATGCAGTAGAACCACTGTCTCCTAAGTTATCGGGTGTGTAACTGAGATCAACTCAAAACACCTCACACGTTGCTCTTTGTATTTCAGTGCGTCCTAAACAATCGATCCTGTTCCCCACTACTCGAGGGAATATTGCACTTTTCCCTTTGGGAGGTACTGATAACAAAAGCTGAGCTGAATGATCACAACAGCCATTTTTACAATACTCACAGAGAAGAAAGGAGTACAAGATACGGGCAGCGTTTTTCGATATCCAGACACAAGCAAACAAAATCTTAGCCGGAACTCTCTGTATTGGAACCACTGGGTAGCTCCATCTGGGAAATTTTCCTTAGGGACTGACTTTAGTGGTAGGGAAAGATAGGGCCTATAGATAAGCCAGGTGCTTCACCCAAGGTGCTAGGGTGGCGGTCTGCCAAGGGTTTGAGGACGACACTGCATTTACACAAAGTGAAATAGGTGGCAAGCACCACTGAGGACAGAGGTGGAGCCATAGGGAAACGCACGTCCATACGGGACAAGCTTCTTGCCGGGATGGCTCCCCAGCCTTGCTTAGAGTGCGCGCTGCCCTTTTTGGAAGTGCTGGGTTCAGCCTAGCCACCCCTACTCTGCACTGATAAATGAATAAGCTTCATCCCTATCTTTCCCTAGCTTGGCAGGCCTTCGCAAAACTTTATGCGTAAGAATCACATTTTAAATTTTGTACCCTACACACTTCCACTAAAGCAGAAATACAAAAGCCACAATAATCTCAATAGCCAGCAGGCATTCCTCTTTAGGGGCTGTAAGGTGGTGGTTTTTCAAAAGGCGGGTAGTAGGGGGGAGAGTAGCGGGGCGGTGCGCTCGAGGACCACATGTAGCTGGGCGAAGGCGAGGCGGACTGGGGCTCATCAGAAAGTCCAGAGGGAGGGGAGGATGGAAAGACACCGGAATGCTGTGTAATAAAAACAAAACCAGTTTAGGCAGCCGGGTTGCGATTCCTCCACAGCCCATCGTTACTTAAAAAGTGAATGTGGACCAAGTTTGCTTCTCTTTGGAAGAACAGAGGGCTCCTAAGCCTCACAAAGTTAATGAGGGGCAATGAGCCCGTGGGTCGGTCCCACTCTCCCGGTCCCTCAGGCTGCACAGCTCCCTGCAGATAGCATGGGGTCCTCCTCCCTGGCCCTTTGAGCCCTGCATCCAGTCACCCATTCTTGTTGCTCCTACTTCTATGTTGTCTCTTCAATCCACCACTCCCTTGTCCACATTTACAGCCCAAGCCTTCAATACCTCTCCCTCGAGCCTATGGCAACAGCATCCCAGCTAGTCTTGAGAAAGGTACTTTGGGCCATAAGAACTTCTGAGGTTAAGCCAGTAATACCTGGGAAAGTCTTTGCTACCAGAATATGTCGCAGAGCCCATCTCGCAGACCAAAACAGAAAACAAAAACTAAGGTCAGAGAGCCTAATTGGGCTTTCTTGGATCTGGGCTCTTCTGAGTCTGACAATTTCTATTTCATCTATTTCACCCACCAACCCCAAGTGCAGGGTAGGTTGGAGGGCAGAGAGGAACACAGGCATGGAGGTGAGAATACCAATGGTAAGAACAAGGAACAATCTGTCAGGTTGCAGAGACACAAGATGCAATTTGACTTTGTGTTGTCTAACTTTGGTACTCTTTGGGAAGAGAGAGGATATAGATTTTTTTTTCTTTTTTAAAAACAGTGAATTGACACATCGGGAGTCATTGCTACTTCTTTCTCTCTGGCTCATGTATACCCTTGACTCTAATGATTTTCCTGCTCAAGGAGAGTTTGGCCTGTTTTTGTTTTGTTCATTACTGTATCCCCCAGAGCTCAGAACAGTGCTTGGCAAGTAGTAGGTGCTCAAATAAATGTTGAATGAGTGACCCTAACCTCAGGAGTATATAAGATGAACTTGGCACGGTTTTCTTTTTTAAAGATTTTATCTACTTATCTGAGAGACAGAAGCAGACCCCCGCTGAGCAGAGAGCCCAACGCAGGGCTCGATCCCAGGACCCCGGGATCATGACCTGGGCGAGGGCAGATGCTTAACTGACTGAACCACCCAGGTGCCCCAATTGGGCATGTTTTTTAAAAGTAAAATTGATTTTCAAAGAATACCGTCCCATCTTGTGGGTACCGCTGCCTTGCTCCAGCAGTGGGACATGGCTGAGGCCTGAAGACGAGGGGATTACCCGGATAGCAGGAGGCCAGGGGCCAGTTTTAGGCTCTCAGGGAGGGTGAACATAATAAGCCAATGAACAAGGCTGGAGAACTGCAATTTTCTGGTGTGTCTTAGCTCTAGGAGCAACTGGTACATTAAACAAACAAACAAACAAACACAAAAAGGGGCGCCTGAGTGGCTCAGTCGTTAAGCGTCTGCCTTTGGCTCAGGTCATGATCCCGGGGTCCTGGGATCCAGCCCTGCATCGGGCTCCCTGCTCGGCGGGAAGCCTGCTTCTCCCTCTCCCTCTGCCCCTGCTTGTGTTCCCTCTCTCGCTACGTCTCTCTCTGTCAAATGAATAAATAAAATCTTAAAACAAAAAGACCCATTTACCCCCAAATTTCTCAAGAGTTCAAGTGCTGTTTGGGGGGAGGTCATGCCTTTACTTTGTGTGGCTGGTCAGAGTCTTGAGTCCATCATGTTATTTTTTAAAGGCCTGGGGCAATCGAGACGCAGCCTTGACATGGGATTTCTGGAGCCTGAGCCCACCTGGCTGAGTCTCCTAATCCCCAGTCCTCACCCCTGCACGCCTTAGAAAGGGCTGTCCAGGTTTCTGGGTCTTGCAGGAGACACGGAAATATCTGTCCACATCATGCTGGGGCCACCATCACTCCCTCCCCCTCCCCCACCCCATCCATTATTTCTGCCCTGAGGGAAGGAATGACAGGGTCCTAGAACCTGCAGAGCCTCTAAAGACAAAACTTGAGCCAGTGGATTTGAGACAAGCCCGATTCCTTGCTAAAATCCCAACTTCTCTCCCGCCTCCGGGAAGACTTCCTGGTTTTCCATTCTGCACTGCAGGCCTCCCTCCCTCCTCCCTCCTCTCCTGCTGCTTTCCTCAATGAAGAACGCTGTCCTCTCAGCCCAGTGGGGACAAGAGTCTCCATGCCCAGGGACAGGGACGTGGTGCTTGGCCCTTCTGAATGCCGCCACGGGAGGGTGAGAACCAGGCGGCTGGTCTTAGGTGCTTCCAGCCCCAGACAGGAGGCCAAGTTTCCGACAGCGCAGCGAAAGGCAGTTCTGTCCCGAAAGGTGCTATGAGAGGCTTCTGTGGGCAGCCCCTGCCGCGGGGGGGCAGTTGTACACTTTGATAGTAAAAAGGGGGGGGTGACACAACGGCCTTTGGTACTCACTTCTTGCTTTCATGTTTGGGAAGTATTCAAGTGGCCGGGGCTGGGATGTTTCTCACTTCCCTTTGAGGACGTTGGGAGCCTTAAGGATAAAATTGAAGGGCTCCTGGCAGAGCTAAGGAGCTAACTGGCTGTAGTCCACACACCCTTGGGGCCCGGTGGGGGGGGGGTGGGGGACAAGGCCCACAGGACCAGCACGTAGTTTCCTAGCAACAGGCAGGCACCTTGGGAAGGATTTGGCTTTGTTGCAGCTGGGGAGCTGGCCTGGTGCCTTTTGGTTCCTGCCTCCGAGTCGACTTTACTAATGGGACAGGCAGCTCAGAAGAACAGAGCTTGGAATCCTCGCTCAGCGCGAAGCATGAAAAGCACCTAGATAGCCTACTGCTGGGCCTCCGTCAGTTCGAGCTTCCCGAGTCCCTTCTTGGAGGCTGGAGCCAGAAGAGGGGCGAGGCGCAGGCGTGGCAATTCACCAGGTGGACAGGAAAGGAACCAGCCCCTGGTTAGAGTGAAGTAGGGGGACCAGCCCGGTAGGCCCGACTGGGAAGTATGGCTGGAATCCCTTTAAGGTTTTACATAAAGCTCCCCTGGGCTGAATTTCCCAGCGGAAGTGGAAACCGATGCTTTATACCCTGCGGAATTTGGACTACTTGGCTGAAACCAAAGTACAGGCAGGAGGGAAATGAACGTGTGGGCAACAGAAGTGAGTGGGGAGGTTAGCGAGGAGGCAAAGGTAGTCTCAGTTTCTATCCTTCCTGCCTTGGGGGATGGGGAGCTCATGAAGGGAAGACACCGCGGAGTCCAATGTTTGCAAGAGTCCCGTTTCTCCCAGCTCAGCACTCACAGTATCCTCGGGGCCATCTGACCAGAGTGAAGTCCTCGCTTTAGGTCTGACCACAGGGAATGTTTCCCAAGCTTCTTAACTGGACAGCTACCCAATGAGGGCACGACTTGGAGGGGTTAAAATAAAACCCTATCCCTCTCTTTCCTCTCCCTTCTCTCAGCCTCTGGGTAAAAAGGAACAATAGTCTTCAAACAAAGTCACAAATATAGTCCTATTTGGAAATGACCCGAATGGGGAAGTTGTTTGGAAGAAAGTCTAGAAAGGTCATCTGTGATGTGGGCCCTTTTCCAATCTGAGAAGATCCTAAGGGAACTCTGGCTTTTTTTGGTGGTGGTGGTGGTGGGAGTGGGCCTGTGCTTCTAGAAGTTTTATCGTCAGAGCTGGTGTGCGTTTTGCTGATGGCTTTCTATTTATCTGGCAATGCAAGCAAGGTGTTCCCCCATCCTCTTGGCTTTCCTGGGTAAAGACTGGTATTTCCTCCTATGAAACTATAAGGGAATGAAAGTTGGTGAACAAAAGAAAGCTCAATTCAAACACACCATTTAAGTTCTAGAAGAAAACAAGTTCCTTAAAAACACATCACTTGGGGCGGCTGGGTGGCTCAGTCAGTTGAGGGTCTGACTCTTGGTTTTGGCTCAGGTCATGATCTCGGGATTGAGGGATTGAGCCCCACGGGGGACTCTGCTCTCAGTGCGGAATCTGCTGGAGATTATTTCTCTCCCTCTCCCTCCCCTTCTGCTCCTCCCCCTGCTCATGTGTGCTCTCTCTCTCTCTCTCTCTCTCTCTCTCTAAAATAAATAAAGTCTCTAAAAAAATTTAAAACCCCACATCACTCAAAACCCACACCACACAACTCTAAAGTCTCCAAAAAGGAAACACAAAGACAGCTCGAACCTAGAAAAAGAACCGGGAGAGGTATGAGAAGTGTCCCAGCAGCCGCTAGAGTGGGGAGCAATTTAATAATTAATCAGAGAGAGTTTACTCTCTAGAGACCCCTTCTGAGTCATGATTAGGAAGCCCATAATTTAAATCAGTAAAAAATATAAAGATCCTAAAATTAACTGGGGGAAAAAGATCTATGCTGTGCTCAGGTTTACAGCTTCTCCAAAGAATTCTTCAAGCCTCTTCTAGAGTCAGACAGACTCCAATGACAAGAGACTGGCAACGACAAGACTGTTTCCCTCAAAGGATTAAATTGGATGATATATGTGAAGCACTCGGCACCATGCTTGGTGCAGAACAAGGGCTCAGTGAATGGGAGCTGTTATTAAAAAGTAGAGGCTTCCACAAATCCCTGACGTCCGTGCTATAAACCCACAGTGTAGGTTTGGGTTAGGGACCCTGTTGCTGGGTTTCCACAGCACTCTGGGTAATAGACTATTCACTTTTTTGTCTCCACTGCTGTCCCCTGACCACCCCCCACTCAAGTCCCTGATTTCTTAATGCAATCAATCTTTCTATCCATGGCTCCTAGCACAGTGCCTGGCACATGGGAACACAGAGTAAACACCGACTGAACTGAAGCCAACAGCCCGGGTCACCACTGGCATTGTCAATCTTGTTTTCATCCCTGGGGTAGTGTCTGAATGAGGAACGATGGACGAAGAAATGTCTCCATACCCTACAGAGAGGCTTCCTATCTTAGAGTGTACAAGGACCATCACCAGGGAGATGATTGTTCCTACTTCAGGGGTTCGTTATAAAGCGAAAATTCCTAAAATCAATATAATCAACATAATTTGCTTCGATAAAAAATAAATGGAGGCGGGGCGCCTGGGTGGCTCAGTTGGTTAAGCAACTGCCTTCGGCTCAGGTCATGATCCCAGGGTCATGGGATCGGGCTCCCTGCTCGGCGGGAAGCCTGCTTCTCCCTCTCCCACTCCCCCTGCTTGTGTTCCCTCTCTCTCTGTCTCTCTCTGTCTCTCTGTCAATTAAATAAATTTAAAAAAATCTTTAAAAAATAAAAAAAAATAAGTGGAGGCAGCCTCTGGGGCTGGACCTATGTGTCTGTGGCCCCTCTATCCCAGGATGACTTTTTTTTTTTTAAGTAAGCTCTACACCCAACATGGGGCTTGAACTCAGTCCCCGAGATCAAGAGTTGCGTGCTCTGCCAACTGAGCTGGTCAGGAGCCCCCCAGGATGACTTTGTATTACTTTTTATTGCTGTGTTAATTTCAACATCTCTGCGTTCTCTCTCTCTCTTTTTTAAAGATTTTATTTAATTATGTGTGTGTGAGAGAGAGAGAGAGCACACACGAGGGAGAGCATGAGGGGGGTGCGGAGGGAGAGGGAGAAGCAACCTCCCTGCTGAGCAGGGAGCCCGACCCCAGGACCCTGGGATCCTGACCTGAGCCAAAGGCCGATGCTTCACCGACTGAGCCACCCAGGCGCCCCCATCCTTGCAGTCTCTTAAAGGACTCCTTTTGCCTCTGTCACTGCTGAAATTGTCTATGCCCTTTTTGAACAGATTCGTGTTTTCCAGTCTGTGTAGCACCTATTTGGGTAACGAGTTCCCTCTGTTGTCTACCTGTAAATACTATAGGCTTCAGAAAAGTTCCAGCATTATTTTTTTCCCAAGCTTTGATGGACACCTCCTTGTTCTGGTTCTGCATTTTATAAGAGTGAACAAGTCCGTGGTCACACTATATATATTACTGTTGCCATATACAGGCCTAGACCTCCACGCACAGCATCTAAGCCGAACAAAAGGACACTGTCTTCAACAAAATGGGACTTTCCAGGTTCAATTATTTTGTTAATCTAAAGCTGAAATTAGGTTGCCCAAGGGCTTTGTGTTTGTAAACCGGCTGGCTAATTGGAAGCACCCCCAAACAGTCATGCCTTTATGTCCCCTTGGAGCATCTAGGGGCCCTTAATCAGGAGAAGCAAATTCATTATGGGCTCCTCTCCCTTCAAAGGTATTCCCTTTGGTCCTCAAATTTTCAATTAACCAGACTTCCGTGCAATCCCACTCTTCTGTGGTCAAGGGTTGACCATCACTGTACATGTTGAAAAGACCATTTTGCTTGTTTCCTTGAAGTGCCTAGCCCAGTGCTCTGCACACAATGAAGCCCTTTTAATTAAGTGCCTTTCTTGGTTCTGTTTTTCTGTGCTTCCTCTCAGCTCGAAAGGAAAAGGGGAAAGGGCAAATTTGGTAACTCTATTTCAGACCCATGTGATAACAAGGCAAAAAAGGGGAGGGGGGTGTTATTAAAAAAACAAAACCCTTTCTCTGCGTAGTCCTAGTTAAGGAAGTCTGGAGAAAAACAAGGGACTTGTTCCTCCTTACAGATTACATTCGATCCCTTGTGTGGCCAGAGTCCCTTGTGCTAAAGAGCAGGTCTGGGCCTCTCTCTGTGGCAGAAGAATGGGAAAAGCGGCGGTTGGACAGGGGTCCATACTGACGTACTAATGAGCACGTCCCCTCCTGGGTGCCGGTCAAGGCAATTTGGGACACCTCGATCCTCATTCCTTCTCTCCCTTTTCTTCTATCTCTCTGTTTCCTGTGTCTTTCCCACCCTCTCCATTTCTCCCATCTTGCCTTTCTATAGTCTTTAAGCTTGCCACTGGTACCCACAGGCTGCTGAAGGCCGTCGGGCTGAGGGCCTGGCTACCTTGTCCATAGGAGGGAGGTCCCATAATTAGGGAGAGAACAAGACAGCAGGAATGGCAGCAAGAGTCACGGAGAGTTGTTTTTCCCTCAAAACATACCTGAAAGTCGTAAGCAGAATATGGCGGCAGGTGGGGAGGGCTATGGTAGTAGGTATTGTACGATGCCACTTGAGGACGAGCATAGTAAGAAACCGTTGGGTGGGCATTTTCAACAGAACAGTTCAGCGCTGGCAGAGCTGGGTTCTGTAGAAGAACACAAAGTAGAAACAACATAAACGTTCATCACCGGGAGAATGATTAAATAAACTGGCACGTCCATACTGTGCAATACCATGCAGCTCTTGAGCCACAACGATGTGGACCTATGGTCCCTGCCAGAGAAAGCTGTCCAGCAGACATCGTTAAGTAATAACAAGACTAGAAAGCCACCGCCAAACTAAGGAGAACAATAAAGAGATCAGTGGTGGCCAGGGGTTGTGGCTGGGGGGAGGGAGGAACAGGCAGAGCACAGAGGGTATATAGGGCGGTGACATGACCCTGTGTAATAGTATAATGATGGGTACATGTCATTATACATTTGTCCAAACCCGCAGAATTACAACACCAAGAGTGAGCCCTAAGGTGAACTATGGACTTTGGGTGACAATGACTTGGCGTTGTAGGTTCATCCTTGATAATAAATGTGCCTCTCTGCTGGGGATGTAGTCAAAGGGGGAGGCTACGTGTGGGGTGGGAGCAGGGAGGACATGGGAAATCTGTATACCTTCCTCTTTTTTTTAAGATTATATTTATTAATTTGACAGGGAGAGAGAGACAGTGAGAGAGGGAACACAAGCAGGGGGAGTGGGAGAGGGAGAAGCAGGCCTCCTGCTGAGCAGGGAGCCCGATGCGGGGCTCGATCCCAGGACCCTGGGATCATGACCTGAGCCGAAGGCAGTCGCTTAACGACTGAGCCACCCAGGTGCCCCTCTACACCTTCCTCTTAATTTTGTTGTGAACCTAAAACTCCTCCAAAAAAAAAAAAAAAAGAACCCACTACGTTATATAGCATGATTCCTGACTTACATAAAAACAAAGACCTGAACAACTATACATGTATGTACGTTTGTAAATTAAAAGAAATTAACCTGGAAAGATTCACAACAGACTGTCAACTGTGGTTATCTCTGGGGAGGGAAGTAGCATCAGGAGGTAAATGGGGATCCTTCACTTTCTTTCCTTTTTTTTTTTTTTAACTTAAGTAGGCTCCATGCCCAACGTGGAGCCCAGTGTGGGGCTTGAACTCATGACCCTGAGATCCAGACCTGAGCTGAGATCAAGAGCTCGACCCTTAACTGACTGAGCCACGCAGGTGCCCTCCTTTTATATATATATATATATAATAGGTATTACTTGTGTCATTTTCCCCCAATTTATTATTTTGAAAAATTCAAACCTACAGAAAATTTGAAATCATGTAAAAAAACCAAAAAGACAAAGGAAAGAATAAGACCCCAAATACACTGCTAAAGGAAGTCACCACTGCTCATTAGTTCCCAAACAGGGCTGTCCCAAGCAGGACCTTATGAGTGCCACATGGGTCAAGGTGCAGGGTAAGTGTTTTTCCCGTTTTCCGTGTCATTGACACTGCTGCCATTGGCGTGGATAATCAAGAGCTGTCTGCAAAATCATTGAGTCTTGATTCTTGGTACATATCTACTCCACATTAACGGAGAGCAGAAGCTTCCTCTCAAGTGATGAAAGCGTGTGGGCAGGCTTTGGCAATGGGCTACAGGCAGCCACGCCGGGGGTGTTGGCACAGGAATCTTCCTTAGAGCAAGTTTCAACACAGTTCTACTGCTCTCTTCCTTGGAGTGGGTTACTGTTTACATCTCTGGGAGGTTTGAAGAGCTACAAACCTCAGGCATTACAATGCAACTCCCAGACAAGCAGAGAAATGTTTGTCAGCCCCTCCCACGCTCGGGAGAGGGCTGAGATTCTTGACCATTCCAAGGGCTGGCTTGCTTTATAGAGAAAGAGTGCTCAGAAACGCCCTTACCTCTCCACCAGAATGCTAAGAAGAAATTTCATCCCCGAGGAAGTCTCAGAAAGCATGTTCCCTTGGCCTTCTGTCAGTTAAAAGCACGCTCTCCAGCTCTTGCAAAATGAAACCAGTTCTTCTATGCAAATAAACTAAGCCTAGCCAGAGAGAAACAATCATGCAATGTAAACTCTATAAAATAAATTGTTGTGTGTTCAGAGAAGAGGCCGGGGGGGGGGGGGGGGATCATCTTTGAAAGGAAGTTGACTATTACAGAGAAAGCGACACAAGAGGAAGATGGAATGAGCACAGAAAAGGCACGGAAGAGAGGAGAGTCCAGGGTAGAGGGTGTGGACAGAATGGGCAGGGCAAGAGAGGCCGGGGGAGCAAAGGGAGGTAAACGGTCGGGCAGGGAAGGGGCCCAAGAGATGGCTCCAAATAAATGTCTGGTGAGGCCTTACATCGCTGTGATTTTATAACACATTTGGGCTCTGTGTCTGTTTGTGTGTGCGTACAGCAGTGTGTGTATTCCTGTTAAAACCCTGGGGCTCCGCGGGCGCCTGGGTGGCTCAGTCAAGTGTCTGCCTTGGGCTCAGGTCATGATCCCGGGGTCCCAGGATCGAGTCCCGCATCGGGCTCTCCGCTCAGCAGGGAGTCGGCTTCTCCCTCCGACCCTCCCCCCTCTTGTGCTCTCTCTCTCTCTCTCTCTCTCTCTCACTTTCTCTCCCTCAAATAAATAAATAAATAAAATCTTTAGAAAAACAACTCTGGGGCTCTAAAGCTGTGAGACCCGCCCCCAATCACTGATCAGTCACATTCTGAGCTCCAGGGGAACACGAAATTTCTAGGCGGCCCAGGAAATGGTGAACGCAGTCTTGCCTGGACGAGACTGAGTCTATTCTGAGGCGATGATTGTGGACTTTGGAAAGAGTGCCACTTTTATGCCTCCCTGCTTTCCTCCAAACCAGAGACACCAAAGATGAGAAACTGGCAAGATACAGTCACCTTTTAAAGACCCATCTCAACTTCTTCTATCTTGGATCAACAGACACTTCATCAAACATTTCTCGAAGATCCTTTTCCCCATGCCGCCGCTGGTCAGGGAATGAGGACATCCTTGTTCCTCTCAGGAGGCCACATTCTGGAAGCGGCGGCTCCTAGCTGATCATGTTGTCAGCTGCCAGCTCCCAGCCCTTGGCTCCTGTCCTCACTCCCTAGGAATGGCTTTCACCAGCCAGCCCCCCGCGGGCCTCCCTGCACATCCCCGGGCCTTCTGCTCAGCGGGGAGGCACACCACGAGTCACCAACCGCGTTTGGACCCAGGCCAAAGACTGTATTTAGGCTCACCTGGCTGATGTTCCAGGATGGCCTACACCACATCTCATTTTAGTAAAGCCATCAAAGTAAGGGCTCTTCCCGGGCCCCCCGTCTTCCATTCCCGCTCACTCTCCCATCTCACGAATCGGATCTTTGCTCTCAGTCTTCCGTTTTGCCCACTGGTCCTTGACTGAGTTCCCAGGCCCTGCATTTGTACTTCTCTGGCCCTCCTCCTTTCCTCCTAAGGAAGCTCTGGACAGCTGGAAACAACTCGCCTTTAACTGTTCTAAATTAAAGCCGCTAAACAAAGGAGTTAATGTGTGTTGAAACACTTGTGGAACCGGAAAGGGCTATCCAAACATTGGTCCAGGCAGCTGGGGTGCAGTAGAAAGAGCAAAGGCTCTGGCATCGGACAAAGCTGGGCTCCAGTCCCAGCTCTGCTGTTTAGTTCTGGGCAAGTCACTTGACCTCTGTTGGCCTGTTTCCTCATCTGTTAAATGGGGGCAGTAATACTTATCTCATCAGGTAGTAATAGTGGGGAGGAGTGAAGAAAGTAATTGTGCAAAAGCCCTTTGTATAAAGGACCATCGTCACTGCTACCTTTCAGGACAGACCCTCAACAAACCCCCTTTCCCCCTAAAGATCAAAGGTCACAGTGAAATGAAGAGTCCAGAAATAAACCTGTACATCGACAGTCAACTGACTCCTTGCAGGAACCCCATGGAGCCTACCGAGTAGCCACCACCCACTGCATTTGTGCCTCAGGGTAGCTCGGCCACCCAGGTCTGAAAGCACTAGGAATGTTCCAGAGAACCCTTAACACCCATCCTGCTGTCCCATCTCCTCAATTCACCAACCCCAGAGCTTCTCCTCCAGCCAGAGTGGCTCACATTCTGCATGGCGCCTCTGCTTTCAGCCGCCCCCTGAGGAAAGTCTCCAAGAACACAGGGCATTCTTTGTTCAACCCAGGAACAGTTTTTCTGAAGCCCTCTCACCCCAAAGCTCCCTTAGGCCCAGCCCTACGGGACTTCCTTCCTCCAACGGTCCCATCTATGCTGATGTGTCCCCCACTCCTTAGCGCTCCGGCTCGCCCTGGCGTGGGGAGGGGGGCGCAGGAATGAGAAATGTGTGTATGAGGGGCGCCTGGGTGGCTCAGTCAGTTGAGCGCCCGACTCTGGGTTTTGGCTCAGGTTGTAATCTCAGGGTCGTGAGCTCAAGCCCTGTGTCGGGCTCTGCGCTGGGCGTGGAGTCCGCTTGAGATTCTCTCTCCCTCTCCCTCCTCCCCGCCCCTGGCTCTCACTCTCTTTCTCTCTCTAAAAATAAATAAATAGAAAGTTAAAAAAAAGGGGGGGGATGCGTGAGTGAGAGAGGGAGAGAAAAAAAGACCGACAGACAGGACGTGAGCAGGGAAGGAATTCTCTTGACTTGGAGTCACCAGCAGGAACACTCAATAACTTCCTGACAACTTGGTCGTGCTCTGGAGTGTTTTCTTTTCCCTTGTCTTACCCCCCCTCCCTTCACTTTCCATTGCTTAGCCTTTTGACAGTCCAAGGTCAAGTTACAAACTGCCTTTCAGGTTCCTGTTCCTCAGAGAGCCCAAAATGGGACAGAAACAGCCCCGGGCTGAGGGGCTATCTGCCTCCTTTCTGGGGTCAAAGGAAAACCCCTTTTAGGCACAAAATAATTCCCTAAACACATGAAGGACCCCTCTAAAGCAGTGGTACTCAATACTGGCTGCAGAGCAGAACCATCTGGGGAACTTATAAAAATATTGATGCCCGTGCTTCAATTTAGACCAATTAAATTAGAAACTCTGGAGGAGGGGTCCAGGCATCTGGGCTCTTTAAACACCTCAGGTGATTCTATTCTAATAGGAAGCCAGGTTGACAACCATAGCTCTAAAGCTATTATCTCCATAATTAGAGATCAAGGTTTGTTAAATGAGCAAAGAAATGCTTAGAAACGCTTTAAAAGCACAGGAAGGAAGAAGCCCCCTATTATGGGGCACTTACTGGGTGCACGCGCGTGAGCGCGCGCACACACACACACACACACACACACACATATGGCAAGGAGTTGAGAGGGAAGATAGGGAACTCAGGGAGGCTGAGGTTGAGGACAAGACCCTGCAAACAGCTTAGCCCAGGGCTGGCCCTTCCAGTGGAGAAAGAGAAGAGCCCACATGGTCTTTCTGGAGAAACTCCAGGATGAAATTCCTGGGGAGGGGGAGACTAGCATTACTCTTACCTGAGCTAAAAAACCTCTTTTCTTCCAACTCTCCCAAATCTGTTTAAAAAAAAAAAAAACAAAACTGCCCAGAAAGGTTTCTACTAAAAGTGTGTGTTTGGGCGGGGGGGAACATGAAAGGCTATGTTTACATAACCAGCATGAACGGGAGAATTGAGGCCACCAGCTCCTCACCTCCGCCCCCCAGAATGTGCCTCAAGAACACGGGCAACTCATGTTAACAAGAAATTTTTGCAGACTAATGACATTGCCTGGCTCCTTCAACTTGAGATGTTGGAAGGCAGTTACATTCTTAAAGCAATGGCTTCTGATTCCTCCCTTCAAAACATGGGTCCCCATCGCCTCCAACTTCCTAGGCTCCACCTTGGTCCCCAGCAGGGGCTCTGGAATGGGAAGGCACTTCCTTCCTTACCATGTCCTTAAAGCCTCCAAGGACAGCGGCAGTGATGATGCCCAGGAACAGGCCGACGATGTTGAGGATGGTGGCAGACCAGAGCAGGTGGTAGAGGTGAATGATGTCCTGGCAGCTGCTGACGTCGATGTATTCATAGTACCCACCAGTGATCTCCACGCGGCTGGACAGGGAGAAGCACACACCCGTCAGTCCCCAGGAAGCAGGCTGTCCCCCGAGGCTTCGGCTACCACGTAGCTCAGCGAAAAGACAGGTGAGCAGGTGGGCAGGTAGGGTGAGGGACAGCATAGCCGTGAATGCACTGGGGGAGTGAGGCACTATGATAAAGTGTGATTGCTGTTTATCCAAAAAAATAAATTAAAAAAACCACCTCCCCCCTACCAGGGAAACACTTGTCACCATCACTAACAGAATAGGTATGCCTATCAATCTGTCATCATAGATGCCGATCAAATCTACGATTGGGAAAAATAATACAATAGTACCCAGTATTAGATAGCATATATTGACCCTTGCTCCGTGCCAGGCACAGTGCTAAGCATTTTACACGCGTGAATTCGTTAAATCTGTGCTGTCCAATATGGTTAGCTACTGGTCATGTGACTGCTTAAATTTAAATTAATTAAGATGAAGTAAAACAAAAAATTCAGTTGCTCAGGCTCACCAGCCACATTTCAAGTGCTCAATAGCCACACTTCCAAAAGCCACACTAGAGGCGGGCTACTGCACTGGACAGAGCAGATTGCTTTACCATTTTTGCAGAAAGTTCTATTAGACAGCACTGCAAACCCTTACACTATTCTATGAGGTACGTACTATCACCATTCCCATTTTCCAGATGAAGAAACTGAAGCACAGAGAGGTTAGGAACTTGCCCAAGTCATAAGTGGTAAAGCTGGGATCCGAATTCAGGCTTCAAAGATTTCGCCGTTTCCTCTTTCAAAACAAAACAGCAACAAACACAACAACAACGTCCCAGGAAAGAACTGAAGCCAAGCTGCTGCCCAAAACCCGAATCTCACCTCCTTGGAGAGGCCTTCCCTGGCCACACTCAGTCCAAAGCCACCCCCACCCTCTCCCCGCCCAGCCACCGTCCCTCACATTACTTGCTGTGGACTGAATTGTGTCCTCCTCCCACATTCGCAAGTTGAAGCCCTAACTCCCAATAGGATTGCATTCCGACACAGACAGGGCTTTTAGGAAGTAATTGAGGTTAAATGAGGTCAGAAGCGTGGAGCCCTAATCCGATAAGATTGATGGCTTTATAAAAAGAGGAAGAGAGAGAGAGAGAGAGAGAGAGAAATCTCTCTCCAGCTACATGCACACACTGAGGAAAGGCCAGGTGAGGACACAGGGAGAAGGTGGGTGTCTGCAAGCCAGGAAGAGAGCCCTCCCCAGACCCCCGCCATGTGGGCACCCTGACCTCAGACTTCCAGCCTCCAGAACTCTGAGCAAATGAATGTCTCTTGTTGAAGCCACCCAGTCTATGGTATTTACCATGGCAGCCTGAGCTGCCTAATACATTACCCTCCTTGAATTGCTCTCTAGCACTCATTCATTACTGTCTGTCTCTCCGACCTGAACGGAAGCTCTAGGGCAGGGACTCGGTTTGTTTTGTCCACTGCTGTCCCTGACACCTAGCTGGTGCTCCATAAACACTTGTTGAGCTGATTCAATGAAAGTTCCTGTCTTCTTGGATGTTGCAAACTAGTTTACAACTTGGCCGCTGGAATCGCTAATGAATCTCCAACATTGTGGTTCTTAAAATGAAAGTCACGACCAAAACGCCCTGGCGTCGGGGTGGTTATTAGGTGGGACTCCCCTCTTAGAAGAACCCTGGAAGTGAAAAGGGGAAAAAAATTAAAGCTTAGCCTCCAAAGCGAACCAGGGAGGGACTGTTCATGAAAGAAAAGACTTTTTAAACTTCACAGATGATTTTATTTTATCTTGGGATTCTTTAAAATCAGTGTTTTCGGTGTTTTTTCTGAGGACTTGCCATCCGTGCAGTTACGGGACAGACTGCATCAGAACCATCTGTGTTTGTGTGTATGAGTGCCTGCCTGTGTGTGTCAGTGTGTTATTTGTGTGTCTGCGGGTGCATATGTCTTGGAGAAAGAGATGCTTAAACATGCAGATTCCCAGGCCCCAGGCCCACAGACTCTGGCAGAATCTCTTAGGGTGAGGCTCAGGGATCTGTGTTAACGAGCTCACTGATGTTTGAAACCCACTGTTTTATTTGTTTGTTTTTTATTTTTAAAGGAAACTCTGCCCCCAAAGTGGGGCTCCAACTCTCGACCCTGAGATCAACAGTCGCACACTCCACCCGACAGAGCCCGCCAGGTGCCTTGAAACCCACTGTTTTAAATAGTAAGCTTCCTTAGTGAAATTTTAAAGATGTCTTCATTCCTTGGAATTTGAACTGGATTTCAGTATGTTCAAGGGCAGAGCTGGAGCCCACCCACAAGCAGGAAGGGATACACAGAAAGCTTATTGCCTAAAGCTTAAAGACCCGTGGCTCTCTGCATACATCCATGAACATAGTAACTCCAAAGTAATTATTACTTGTGGCAGGTAGAATATTTTCTTTTTGATAGTATCAAATAAGAATATGTATATCTAGCTATCATAGATGTCGATCAAATCTACAATTCTGAAAAATAATGCAATTATAATAGCAAAAAGTGTTATAGTCCTTACTATTATCTGGTACTATTCTAAGCAGTTTGCAAACACTAACTTACTTGTCTAAGCCTGGGCGACTCAATGAGAGAATGCACCAAAGCACCACTCCAGCACATAATAAGAGCCCCCGGCAAAACATGTAGCCATGGTTTTTTTTCCCTTCTAAGAGCCAGCCTCTGGCAACGAACCTTAGAATTTCCTTATTAAAAGGGTTGATACTTGAAAGGCGCAGACCACACCACCATGATAGGTTAGTGGTTTGTTTAAAAATATTCAATAATTTTAGATACTATATGTTTGGTTCCAGTTTGAGCAGGTTCAGCAGCTACTGAAATATTTTTTACTTAACCATGAAGGAAAAGAACATTAATACTTAGACCTGGTTCAGGGTTTAGCAAAATGAATGCGGTTTGTTTCTGTGTGAGATTCATGATTCCACTTGGTTCAGTCTCCAGGACCGCAAGGCCCTCCTACCAGTCCCTACCACTGCCCGATTAAGCTTCCTCAAACATTTTTAAAACTGAATAATTCATTTAATCAAAATCTTTCCATGGCTCCCCATTCATTACCTTCCGGCAAAAGGGTCCAAATTCCTCAGCCTGCCATAATCCGAGTCCAAAATGGAGTCCACGCTCCAGCTAACCTGGGGCCCCCAGGAGCCCAGACCCGGCCATGCTGGGTACTTATTCCAAACCTATGCTCCGATTTCTCTCCCTGCATGGAAGGTACTGCCTTCTGTTCTCTGCCTGTCCTAACCTCTCCCACTGCTTGAAGCTTCCATACCCATCTCTCCAGTGTCTCCCTCAAGGACTCCAGTGCCCCATTCACTGGCTTTTTCCCTGGACTCCCACAGCCTCAGACAGTCTGTTCCTCTTAGTTTGGCACTTTGCAAATATCAGTAATTCAGTTAGTCATTCAATCCGATGTTTATTGAGGGCCCACTCAGTGCTGAGTACTGTTCTGGGTGCTGAGGCTACAGCCAAGGTGGATGTAACGTCTCCATCTAAATTGTAACCTCTTGAGGGTGAGGGTCATCTCTTACACATCTGTTGTGTCTCCCTCACTGCCTAGCATAGTGGGAGAAACGTTGTAAGTCATCAATAAATACCTGGTGAATGAGTAACTGAGTTCAAAGACTGTGGCATTGATCGTGAGCTTGATTACCCAATATGGGCTTTTACCTTCTTGCTCCCAACTTGCTGGGTGTGCCTGGAGGAACAGATAACCTCTCTGTGTTTCAGTCGCCTCCTTAACCAAGGAGGAGGCAACAGATCTTGGATAAGGCAGCAGGGCATCCTTCCGCTCTTCCATAGGGGCCTGGAGCCATGGGAATCTTTGTATGGGTCTAAGCTGCCCTCCCCACAACCCCACTGGTAAACTGAGTTCCGTCAGGGTAAAATTACGCTTTCTCCATACCTATTCTTCTCGAACAGTCCTTGGCACATATTTCAGGAGCTCAAGAAAAGTTTGCTGAAGGGAGGAACGAATGAAAGTAAGCTATCTCCTTTCGTTTTGTTACCAGCTGAAGTAGTTCACAAACCACCCCATATCCTTCCATTTCCTTTAGGTGACACGCTGGAAACCAGTGATACTGACTTGACCTCTCCAAAGCTGAGTGAAGTGCTCTGAGAGGCAGCTGCTGAGGAGCTGTGTCCTAGAGAAGGCCACCTTCCTGTGCAAGGCTAAATGGAATAATCTATGTTTGGTATTAAAACCTCACTGCCTTGACGTCAAGGAAGGTCTGTGGGTTTGAGGGGACAGTAGAAACTCTGTTTCCATAGCTCTGTACAAATGACTGCCTGATGTTTTTGTTCCCACTTTTTTTTTCTTGGACTTCTTTCCAGGAAATGGACTCGGGGAGCTGCCAATCGATTAAAAATAGGTTTCGTGTGAGGAAAACAAATACGCACTCAGCAAAATTAAAGCCCCCGCGTCTCTCAGAATGCTTGTTGCTAGCTATATTTAGGCCTGGAGTGCAGGTCTCTTTGGAGCTGGCTGGAAAAAGCCTCGGGACAAGGAAAAACTTTGCCCTCTATTGTAGGATCATTGCCTCTTAAAGTCTCGTGGGCCTTGGTTTATGACCCCAGTGGGACTGTTTCCTGATGGAAAGTTCAGGAAATCTTTTCCTAGTGGCTTTGCCTTTGGAAACTTTGCACTGCAGACAGGGCCTTGACTGATGCCCGGGGCTGGTCTCGGTAGGTGAAAACCATTTCCAGGCTTGAAGATCTTTAGGGACAATGTCCCCGTGACCCCTCTTAGTTGCCTAGGCCAATACTTTATCTTCCTGGTGAAAAGGGTGTTCTTCTTTTTGGTACTTTGCAACAAATGTCACTCCTGTTTCATTAGGTCTTTACTCATGCCCGGTCCTGTGTCAGGGCCTGGGGGTACAGATAAGATGAAGTCATGTTCCCTGCCTTTAGAGCCTTGAAGACCATACTGGCATAACTTGCTTTAAGAAAGTAAGAAAGTCAGTTATTATCAAGTTCAGATTGACAGGAAGATATATTGTGCTCGAGCCTCCGCTTTCGGGAAAAAAAAAAAATTCACCTAAGGACTCAGCTAAATGGAATTTAAAGTAGGATTTAGTTTATTCAAAGCTTTTCCAGCAACACAGTTAATTGCAGAGAGAAAGGTGTGTCTGCAAGAAGTCACTTCGCAGCCCTCCGGGGCTGGTCGGCTCCCAGACCCGGCGCCCCCCCCCCCCAGGCACCCAGGCCAGGAAGTGGGAAAACAGGGGGAGTGGAGAGCAGTGTGGGGGGGAGAAGGAGAGAGAAGGACAGCAGCAGGGAAGGGGAGGGAAGGGGAGGCAAAAGGAAAGAGAGCAAAATAACCCCAATTCCCCTAGGACCTATTTTACATTCCTTTGATCATTTTTGGAAGGATGAGCTCAGGAAGTACAATTATAGCCAGCTCTCCATCACCACTGCGAAGGAGGGAAGTCCTTTACAAGTGTTAGTTATTATTACAACATGAATAATTGAACCTCCCAGATAATCCCCAAACCTTATTTGAGTCCTTAAGTTTTCTCTTCCTCTGCCTGCCCAACCTTTTAACGAAATGAGGCTGGTGTGAGTTCCCCCCCACGTCACCTCCCTGCCTCCAGGCTGTCCGGTCTTGATCCTCAGACCAGAGGGACAGGCCCCCCAATACCAAGAGGAGGGAGTGGGAGTGAGGAGGGGGCTGCATCCATCTGACTCCTCTGGATTTAGCTCCATCCAGGCCCCCTCTGCCAACTCCTTTCTTCCTCTCTACCTTTCCAGGCCCTCTGCTCCCCATCTTCCATATGCTATAGCATTCAGTGGTTTATGGGGTCTGGGTTGAGTCCAGTTGCTTACAGGGTCAAGTCCAAAGTCATTCTCGTGGCCAGTGAGCCCTCTATGACTGGGCCTCTGACTATAGCTCAGTCCTCACTTCCTACCCCCTGTCAAACTGCCCCTACCCCACAACTACTGGGAATACCCTCCCCACCTCTACCCCCTTTTGGTTTGTTTTCTAACTCCCTACTTACCCTTTATTTTTTTTTTCATTTGTTTGACAGAGAGAGACACAGCGAGAAAGAGGGAACACAAGCAGGGGGAGCGGGAGAGGGAGAAGCAGGCTCCCCGCCGAGCAGGGAGCCCGATGTGGGGCTCGATCCCAGGACCCTGGGATCATGACCTGAGCCGAAGGCAGACACTTAACACCTGAGCCACTCAGGCGCCCCCTCTACTTACCCTTTAAATTTCACCTCCCACATCACCTCCTCCTACATTCCTCCTCCTTGACACTGTCCCCCAGCAACTCTGACTTCACTCATTTGGGTGGCCAGGGTCCCCAGTATGCCCACTGATCCCCACTCTACTTATCACACTCTGTTGTCTGTAATCAGTTGTCTACACGTCTGTCTTCCCTACTAGTCTGTGAGCTCCTCAATAGTAGACCCTGTATTCCTACCACCTAAATATGTTTTGAAAGAAAGAGTAAGTGATGTTTTTGCAATTAGAGGGCAGAGAACCAGAGTGGTTATGACAGGACTAGCACCAAGCCTGCTCCTGCCTCGGGGCCTTTGCACTTGCTATTCCTGCTGCTTGAAACACTCTTACCCCAGGTATTTACTTGGGTTGCCCTCTGGCTTCATTCAGGTCTCTGCACAAATGTCCCCTCCTCAAAGAGACCCTCCCTGGCTACTCTGTCTCACACAGCACACGTGCTCTTCACCTTGTCACTATCTACCACCCCAGGCTCATTTTTTTCTCAGACCTCTGATCAACACTTGGCATATTATATATTCATGTGCTATCGACTGTCTTCCCTAATAAAATATAAACTTCATCAGGGCAAGGACTTTTATTCTGTTTGCTGCTGAATCAGCAGTGTCTAGAACAGGGCCAGGCCCAGAGAAAGTGCTCAATAACTATTTGTTGAGTGCTATTGAACTTGCGCTTGAGACAGAACTTGGTTTGAACCCTATCTCTACCATTTCAAGTTCTGTGTGACCTTGAGCCAGGTGTCTGCTTCCTCTGAACCTCACTCTCAACATCTGTAAAATGGAGATGGTCAACCTACGTACATCAGAGGTGAGGACTAAATGAGATCAAATATTCCAAAGCACTCTGCACGGCGCCTGGCACAGAGAAGGCAAGTAACGCTTATTAGCTGAAATCTGTTGACAGACCAACGTCTTCCATTTCTCTGATCCATAGCACGTGCCCTTGGCACTCTGTCCTCCCGCCCCCACCCCTTCTAGTCCCCGTTGGGGTCCGACCGTTATTCCCCGAGCCTGGGCGTTCAGCACGTACTTGCCACAGTTGTAGAGGTCACAGCAGAAACAGGTGTTGCCCCGGATGCGAGGCGTGCAGAATCCTCGGCTGAGGTGAGGGCAGTTCACCTGAGGGCACACACAACAGTGAGGAGATGGGCTGGCACGGGATGGGGGGCAGGACCCTCTGGGACTGGAAATATGAGTTAGTGACTGATGGAGACGGTAAGGACGGTATGGACGGCTGTCAGATGAACACCCCCACGCAAGAGAGGGATGGGGATGGGCCCTGGGCTGGCTGAACTCGTGCCTGAGACAAGCCACCGGGGAGCCGGGGTCCACCCAGCCCCTGGCCACAGCCCTCAGTGCCCCATCCCTGAATGGCAGAGATGCAGAGGAAGGAAGGACAGATGGAAGGACAGAGGGAAGAACAAATGACAGTAGGAAATGAGGACGGGGGGGGGACGGGGAGCCAGGGGACGGGGCAGGCGGGGGAAGGGGAGCAGAGGGGGAGGAAGACAGAGGGCCATCACATGCACTCTGAAGTACAATAGTACCTCTCTAGCTGCCTGGGTAAGGTTCCTCATAACCCTCGCGGAAGGAGAATTTTTGGTTGAGGAACTTATGACCTTATATAGGAAAAATAGGGTTAGGGGGACCAGGGTTACAAGTGAACCTATGGAAGTCATTATTAATATTTTCACAGTCACCAAGTTAACATAAGAAAGCGCTCAGCACGAGATCAAGAGAACAGCAATGACATTTTTGCACATCTCAAGTTTGCAAACAATTTAAAACATCGATTTTTTCCATTTACCGTCTTTCAAGAACTTTTCCAGACGCCCTTCCCCATATGGATGCAATGAAGTGCTTGTGAATGTGTTTCACTGTGTTATAGAGAATATTCATGGTAAACAGGCACTTTTTTTTATATCGGGTCCTTCATGCAAATGCTCACTGCCTTTCTGATAAACTGTCGGCACACACACGTTTCTACTCCTCCCTTTGAACCGGAGGATAGTTAGAAAAAATGGTAAATTTGCGTTCGGGGGAAGCGTAGGGGGCGCAGGTGAAAGGCAGAGCCGTAATAGAAGTATGTGCCCTGGTGCCTTGGGAGCAGGGCCATCGCTTTGCTGAGCTCCAAGGGCACCATTCATTGTATTTTATGTTGAATGGTAGTTTCGCATTCAAGGGCTCTCTGGGTTGGGGGGTGATTATTGTGTGCACGCTGAGCAGGCAGTGGGTTGGGTCACTTTCTGAAAATGACCCGGGGCCAAGCTTCACCTCACTGCCCACTGCCTCTGGTTCTGCATGAGGCCTCATGGAACGCAAGGATTGCTGGGGCAAGAGAGAGAAGTTGCCGTGCAAAGTGGCCCAGGCTTCTCAGTGACCCTCATTTGGCTTCCTGACTTGTCTTGCGCGTGGGACTCAGGCTCTGCCTCCCTAGTCCAGACCCAGGGCTCTGGTGGGGCTCCTGCTTCTCTTCCAGCTGGGCACCGAATCCAGGCAACGAAACCATCATCTGCAGAGCTGGGGGAGGGGCCTGCCCTGTGGCCTCTGTACTCATCTGTCCCTCTTGGGATCGAAGCCACACACTGAGAGGCTGCCTGCTGGGGTCACAGGGGCAACCAGTGGCCACAGAGCAAAGTAAATCTGATTAGGTCTTATGAGGTTCCAACCTATGACCATGGCCTCATTAGACTTGTGCTCCGACCCACTGAACAAATCAACTACAGACACCTAGTGGCAAGCTTTAGGCCCGTGAAAAGGAGTAAAAGAAAGGGGGTTTCAGGCAGAGCAGAAGACTGTCCCAAAAGGTAAGGCATGCAGCCTCATTCCGGCTCACCTCCTCAGCTTCCTTCTGGGATGTCTTGGGGACGTAGTGGCACCGGTTAGCATAGAGTGGTTTCAGATCCTGGAAAGGGAAACAGCAAATCAAAGAGTTTGGGTTTTGGAAAACAAAGCAGCAAGCGCTCTGATTGGTAATAAAAGATTTGAAAATGCGCGCTCATGCTCGTACACACACACACACACACACACACACACACACACGAGCAGGCAGTGGGTCGGGTTAGTTTCTGAAAGCTGCCCATCTATGAAGCCCGAGAATCTGAGGATTACATACAAATGTTCTCATAACTGCTTTCCACTGGGCCACTTGGTTAATGAGAAATTACGAAACTGATTGAGAAATCGGTTCCTTGAAATTTCCTCTCTGGTTTTCTTTTATTTCTAATCTTCATCTTCTTCCCAGGAGCCCCCAGGGAACAAGATGCAGACTCTTACAACATCATACTCCCAAAAGGAGGGAGCCCTACTCCGACGATCAGGTCTCATTGTCACCTGAGGACAGGACTCGGGCTGGCTGACATGTGCTCGCTGCTGTCACCGCCACAGCGTTTCCAGAAGGAAGAGCTCAGGAAGCAAGCCCCAGGGGGATGAGCAGCTACTGAGGCTGCTGTAGATTTTAACTCAGCTGAACTATGAGCCATTTTCACTCAACTACACAGATTAGGTAAAGACCATGACCTCCAAAAATACTGCGAAAGCCCAGAAGACTAACATGGGGCTCAAGGACAGTTGACTTCCCGTCCTGGCTTGGCCAGCTTTCTGGTGAGGGAGCTCTCAGGCGTGGGTGTTGGGGTAGAACAGACAGACACGATCCAGCGCTGCCTGGGAACTTGCAGGCAGGGGTGCTGTTCACTTTTGGGGTGATGCTAAACATCCCCCAAGGGGTAGGAGGCTTTGGCCAAAAGCAGGCTAGGACGGGACAAGCAGTTTATGCAAAATGACCTGTGGGGTTTGGCCAAAGCACCCTCCCTCCTGCCCCCACTTTTCTCATCATTTTCAATAACCCCGGTGGCTGCTTTTCCCACCCATCATTTGTCATCTCCTGTTCCTGGCACCCAAGGGCTTCCAGCCTCCCAGCCTGCAGCCCCATCGAGGACCTAGGACTTTCCATCAGCTGCTTTTCCATGAAACGTCCTGTCTGTTCAATGTTGGCTTAGGCTGGAGTTAGGCTGGGAAGGAATGTAGGTTCTCGTGTTCATACAGAGCAGGGTTTATCTTCTGTGTTTGGGGAAGAGCAGAGGCCCTTATTATCTGGGGTAAGGGGAGGCTTGATGTGCTGTCACAGCCCTCCTGACCTCCTGGTTCTGCAGAAAGCGTTCAGCCACCAACTAAATGAAGACAGACCCGTTCACACGTGATGGTTGTCCATGCGCTGCCTTTGGTGGCTAATCTGCATTGAGACCCCGTCGGGAGGTAGGAAAGTCACTCAGCTCAGCCTCGGCAACCTTTTTAATCTGAAGGGCTACCAATTGCGGAGTGAAGAGATGGAAATGAAAGTTGCTTCATGGTGAGTGGCTACTCTGTGCCAGGCTCCCTTAGGGAGGTTACTGAAGGGAAAGAAACTGGGACACAAGAAGGTAAAGCGACTTTTCCAGCTGGCTAATGGCCGTGTTAGGGGGAGGGGAAGGGAAGGAAATAAGAGACCATGGAGAGAAGGAACAAGACACCTTTAGAAGGGTGTGTAAGAAGGGTAGGTCTTGCGAGGAAGCACACACACCCCCAGGCCAAAGGACAGGGCAAGATGGTGCTGAAGGACTCCAAGAACAGAAAAGGCGGGCTTAGGGGCGCCTTGGCTGGCTCAGCAGGTAGAGTGTGCGACTCTTGACCTCGGGGTTGTGAGTTCGAGCCCCACGTTGGGTGTAGAGATTACTTAAAAGTAAAATCTTTAAAAAAAATACATTATTTATAAAAAAAAAAGAAAAGAAAAGAAAGAAAGAAAGAAAGAAAGGAAAAGAAAAGACTGGCTTTAGCCCACCCAAGTGGTGCTAGGGTGCAAAAGTGCCTTTCATTAAACTGGTCAATAGATATCACCATCCATCAATAAAGCCTTCTTCCTCTAAACTCTCTGGGTATCAGTGAGGACTGGCAGATATCATAGGATAGGTACAGGGCAAGCAGAAAGGTTTTCTTAAAGATTCATCCAGCCTTACCCCAAATCCCTGAATCAAATGCTCTACTGTAGGCCACTAACTGTAGGAAGTACCGAGGGCCTGGAGTCAGAGATAGGTAGGTGGTCATTAGAGGAAACTTCCAGTAAATATAACTGGATTTTTCCCCATTGCCTCTGATGGAGGCCAGTGATCAAAAAAACATGGGAGGAGGATCAAGGAAATGCAAATCAAAACCACAGCGAGGTACCACGTCATTCCCACCAGGATGGCTAGAATTAAAAAGTCAGCTACCAAGAGTTGGCAAGGATGTGCAGGAATTGGAACTCTTGTACCTACACTTCTGACGGGAAGGCAAATGGTGTGGCTATTTTGGAAAACTGTCTGGTAGGTCCCTAAAAGGGGAAACATAGTTATGACATGACCCAGCAATTCCAGTCCTAGCGATATACTCAAGGAAAATGAAAACATGTGGCCACACAGTACATGAATGTTTATAGCAGCATTATTGGTAAAAGCCACGAGCTGGAAACAACCTAAATGTCCACCGGTGAATGGATAAACAAAATGTGGTATATCCATACGATGGAATATTATCAGGCCATAAAAAGAAATGCAGCTACAGCATGGATGAGCCCCAAGAATATCATACTACATGAAAAGAAGTCAGGTCGCAAAAGACCATAATATTATATGATTCCATTAATATGAAAGGTTAATTAATATAGGGAAATCTGTAGAGAAGGAACAGTAGCCTCGTGGTTGCCTAGGGCTGAGGGGAATGGGGCATAGGGAAGTGAGAGCCCAGAATACGGGGTTTCTTTGGGGGGATGATGAAAACCTTTTAAAACTGATGTGGTGATGGTTTGCCCGTAACAGTGAAGATACTGAAACCCGCTGAACTGTACACTTTAAATGGGCAAATTATATGGGATGTGAACTATATCTCAATAAAGCTGTTTAAAAAAAATACACATCAAGAGTGGGAGGAGGAGGGAAAAGGGGAAGCCATTTTAGCTCATGATGCCATCAAAATCTACTGCAGGCTTCTTGGCCACTAGGCCTCTGTTACCATGGAGACCGCCTCAGAGTGAATACTCCTTGTCAAATGGGGATAATAATGCCTGCCCTACATATCTCACAGGATTGCTGTGGGCCTCAAATGAGATAATAGATGGGAAGCCACACTGAAAAGCTAAATGTGCTCCACAAAAACAAGGCATTATTGTTATTAAGATGGCTCCTGTTGAATACAAAATAGCATGCATGCTGTGATTGGCTGTAACCACGCTACACAAATAGGTGTGTACTCAGAGAGTAATAGGCAGAAATGCTAAGACTTGCTATGTGAGGGTGGTAGGCTTGTGGATGTCACAAGTTCCCGATGTGTCATCGGCCTTTTTAACAAAGAAAAGATGAAGAAGATGGCTGCCCTCAGCTAAAATCCAAAAGGATGGGTCTGATATCGGGGCCAATCTTTAAATTCTTGGCCCTGAAAAGAAAATTGGGCCAAGAGCCTCTCTCTCCCACCCCTGACTCTGCCCCCTGCCCAGAAATTATCTCCTGAGACACCAGTTCAGAGACTGTTTGTGGGGCAGCACTGACTGCATGAGTTCCTCTAATCTTGGCAAATGACCGACTGACTCACGCCTGAGACGGGGGTCCAAGAGCAAGTGGGAACTGAGATAACAATGTCACAGATCATCCTTCCCCAGATCCAACCATACTCATGCCACTGCCTCAGGATGACCTGCACTATTTGCCAATGTCATTGATCCACAGAAGATTCTGATAATACAGTTTTGCTCTAAATTGGCTGTTTTGGAAAACAAAACATTTCCAACTAGCTCATGAGATGTTTTCATTTTCCATGCTGATTCAGTAGGAATAAAAGGAGTATTTGTGTCTGTTGTGAGGACCCGGTAAGTTGTGGTGGCTCCCTTTTGATTTTGGTTTGTGGGCCAGATCAGGGCTATGTTATGACCTCCCTGGGACCTAGGCACTTTTGCGGGCCCCTCTCTCCATTAAAAGATATTGAAAATTATATTTTCTTTATTTTAATTATATCGAATGCCTGCATTGGTATAAAGACAAATATATTTATATGTGAAAACTTCTCCTTGACCTAGAAGCTCATCGCTTGTCTACTGATTTGAAAAGAAATGATAATATTTTTATGAAACCCTGAAAGTACTATGGGTCATAGGCACTGTCTGGAATAGTGTGGAATGGAAAGTACTAAAAGAGGGGTGAGGGCTCCTGTGGAGAGCCACATGGGAATGCCCTGAAGCACAGGCTTACTCAGAGAAGAGCCCAAGTTTGGGTTTCAGGAGTCAAATGGCTTTCCTCAAGGGGCAGCTTTGAGGATTTGGCCCCGAAACGCCAGGACTGGGCTCTGAGTAGAAGCTTCTAGCACTGGGGTTTTCTCTGGACCCCAATCACATCACTAAATGCCAACCCCCGTTGTAGGGACAGCGAAGTTCAGGAATCTGAGAAGAGGTGACTCTGTCCTCCTGGTCTGTTCCTGTCACTGTTGAAACCTCCGAGGCCCTCAGAACTCACAGGCCTTCCTGCTTCTCCCTCCCTCCTCATCTCCAGCGTCACTTCCAAGGCCCTTCCCCTGGCCCCAGTGCCCTTGCCTCTGCCTTTCCAAATCTCACTCGCATTTCAAAGGTCGATTCAGGGAAGCCTGTTCCTGGCCACTGGAGCCCAAGAGAAATGGCTACGGCACTTAGAGTTTATGCCCCCAACTTAGCCCCGGTTCTCTAGATGACCAGGGGTCCAGCAGTGTCCTCATCTTGACGCTCAGCAACTTGAGACAGGGATCCTGTTTTCCCCCTCCTCTGTACCGTCACAGCCCTTAGCACACACAGCCCGCCGCACACACTCAACGAAACCTTGCTCTGTTGCACACGTCCTCTGACCTGGGCCTGAAAGTACTCACAATGTGTCTGGCAGCAAAGACCCCATCGACAATGGCACAACAAAAGGCCGCAATCACTCCGAAGCTGATAAAGACGATAGAAGCCACCAGCTGCAGGGGTGGGGAAGGGTGGAAACAAAACACAAGTGTCTGTTAGCCTTCCACTCTTGCTGTTCCTGGAGACTAGAGGATCCCCAAGAGAATGCCAGCCAAAGCCAAACTCTGGCCTGCCGCCCCATGGGGGTGCTTTTCTTCAATCACGCAGGATGAGTGGGATGAGGGGTAGGGGCCGCCGAAGGTATTTTTTACATTTTCAGGGCAAGCTAAGAAATTCACCCCGTGAATCTGTGGACACCCGATCAAGAGGAGATTTTGCTAATACCGAGCATGCTGTCTGTGGGGGAATATTCTATCCCTGTGGAGGAATTTGTGTGGCTCCTCCATCCTCAGACTCCGAAAGATGTTGGACATTTGACGTCGCGTAGTCCACCCCCGTTTTATTTATTGTGGGGCTGGAGGCTCAAAGAGGGGTAGTGGGTGCGCCCAGGGTCCCCATCCAGTCTACAGAAGAGTCTGGTGCCCACCAGCTCCCGGTCCAGTGTTCTTCTCAACCCCTCACTGTGGGCAGTGATGAAGACAGGGACGATTCTGAGGCCCCACACAACCCCACCTGGCCTTCTGCATGGTTGGAGAAGGAACATTCAACTTATTAAGATTTAGGTATCAAAGACCTCTCACAAGGGTGGAAGTCTCTGGAACTGATCAACTCTGTGTAATGCGTACAAAAATTCTTAAGAAAAATGTTTGCTTGCACCAGACTGCCCTATACGCTGATCATGTTAGATAACAAGATTTTCCTAATAATTTGGCTTCCGTTACAAGGGAGGTACTACAAGCTGATGTGGAGGAAGGTGCTTCCAGGGGCAGGCGGTGGGGGGCGGGGGTCGCCTAAATCCACCATCTGCCCCGGGGTCGACCCTCAGAAGGAGATAGAATCAGTCTTTTTCTTCCTTGAGGTGTTTGGAGGTAAACAGGGGGAAATAGCACGGCATTAAACTGCTCTCCAGGGCAAAATCAAATCAAAGTCAAGGCTACCCTAAGGTTCTCCCTCCTCAGCAGGCTAGGAGGAAATACTTCTCTCCTTCAGGAGTTGTTCAGAAGCCTCTCCCCATCAATCTCACTTCACAGCACTACAGAGAATTGGTAAATAATGGATGAACGCTGTCGTGAAATTGGCATTATTAGCTATGCGATGATCAGCTCTACAATTAAAACTCCCCCGTTATTTTGAATAATGTAAGCCCAGAGTGCAAACTCCACTGGCGGGGGAGGCGGGGAGTCCAGGTGAAATGGAAGAAGAGAGTGCTGAGTGCTCCCCTGAGGGAATCCCCCACATTGCTGGGGGAGAACAGATGGTTAGAGTTCTCTGTCCCTGGAGCTATTACCTTATCTGATTAAACTTGCTGTTAAATAGACCCCATTATCAAGGTCTAGATGCCACAGAGGCTTGTACTGGGGGAGTCTTATCAGTCCACCATCTGACCACCCCCCAGGCATCTTGATTTACAAGTGTAATATCCTAAAAGGCAGGAACCCTCTGCAAAACTTTCCCCAAAGGTTATGCATCAGAGAGGGAGGAGGAAAGCAAAGGGCAAGATCCAGAATATTCTATCTCTTTGACTTAAGGAGACTAACTAGGGCACTGAGGGAGGGTCAGGCAAGACAGGAACAAGTCCCATACCACGGGGTCACTTTAGAATAAGTTCCCTGGAGGCTGAGGAGAAAAGGCAAAGGGATATTTGCTTTTGGGGCCCGACCTGGGCAACCTTAAAAAGTGTGTTACTTATCCATATAAATATTGAGCGTCTTCAGCTGAAGAGTGCGATTCTATAGCGATGAAAACTTACCATCTGCCGTTTGTTCTCAACAAGGTTTGATCCGATGATTCCAAGGAAGGATCCAAAGCCGAGCTGCAAAGCAATATGGCAAACATAGCATGTGGGAAGGTGATCAGCCTGCCCACGCAATTATATCCAGCTCCTGGATATGATTCAGGACAACGAAAAAGGCCTGATACGACACATGCAGCTGTTACACAGATAGAACGTGTTCAATAAAAGTATTTCTCCCACCATTTGTCAATTTTTCCTTGTAGAAATGCATCTGACCTAAAAAGAAACTCATGTGCCCCAAAATTCAAAGTAAAGGTCAACCAGAGCTTTTCAGAGCCTGCCTATTTCAGTGTCAATATCTATTACCTATCACGTGACTGGTGAGTCAGTAAGAGACATATAACGGTGAAAAGCAGGTGTTATAGTCTGATCTTTATCTTTTTCTTTTTTTTTTTGAAAGGAGACCGTCTACTCTGATGCATGGATTACAAAGTAAAGATTTGAAATAGCAATTTTTGATGCATCCCGCACACTAGTCAAACCCAGGAAATACTTTAGAGATCAGCAAGCACCTTAACCTAGACTTAAAAAAAAAAACAACCTATTTTTTGAAAGCCTGTATTTGTGGCTGACCCACTGCAATTTATGTTAGCACTTATTCACCTCTTCTTCCATCTCTGCTTCATTTATGGACAGAAAGCATTCATTAGAGGGTGAACAGAAATGGCCGTGTAAAGCCCTGAGAAAACAATCTCCCTGTCTAAGTGGCTGGGATGATGGCTCGCTGTAGCAGGTCCCATTTCCTCTCACTTCTGCCATTAGTGGACTGAGTCGGCCAGGCTCAGCTGCACATGATCGCTAACCGATGGCTGTCGGTGGGGATAAAAATGCAATAAGTAAAAAGTGGTGAGCACGGACCAATAAATCTTAACACAAGCTCAGTGATGCAGTTACAGGTCTCTTTAGCCTCACTAATGGTCCGGGTTGCCATCTGCAGCCTTACCTTGGCTAACAGGGGCATCTATTTCCATCTGAGGCCCCCAAGCCTTACAGCTGAACTTGGAAATCTAATGGACCCGAGGGCTGGGCAGGAGTGAGGTGGGGCAGTGTAGGGGCACTGGGTGCTGGTCTCAGAAACCCAAGAACTAAAGGGCATGAAGGGGGCATGAAGGGAAGGAATGAATACAGATTTCCAAGGACTCATTCTGCAGGGCCACTCAGCCAGCAACCCCTCTGGGGAAATAGAAGCCGACGTGCACAAGGGTATATCCCCCACCACCCAAGACGCTACTGAGAACATCCTCACTCAACAGTTAAACTCTGCCCATCTTCTGCCTGCTCTTATTTTAAATGTAATTGAAATGTGTTGTCATAAAGTATACTGATTAAAACCTGGTTCTCACACCAGCCTGGCTTCCTACCCCAGCTCTTCCGCCGTTGTCTGTGGGATCTTGAACAGACAGATTGGCCTCTCTCAACCTCAGCTTCCTGATCTGGGAAATGGGGACTTTAACAGTGGCTATCTCATGGGGCTTTTGCAAGCACAAACCAGGATGATACATTCAAAGAACTTAGCACGGTGCCTGGCACACAGTAAGTACTCGGTAAATATTGTTCCCATGTTTATTTCTATTTTTGAAGACATTTAACTTTTGAGCAGCTCTAACTAATTTGAGCTGGAAAGTCCTATCATTGTTTGCTCGATTTCATAAGAGAGCTTCATGTTTTCTCTTTCCCCCGCCTCCAATGTATTCCACAGCTTTTATTTTTCCGGAAGAATTCCATGACTAGTCTGTGCTTATGGCATTCTGGACCACTCGGGGAGATTGAGAGAAAGTCGGAGGCAGCTTCTTACATGGAACATAAGTCCTCTGACTGAGCAGTTTTTCAGTTTCCACAGATATTCACTTAATGTCACCTGAACCCCAACAGCAGTCTTGGCCTTCAGACGGGAAGCGAAAACACTCGTCATTCCTGGCGCTCTCAAATAACTCCCTGATGATAGTGGCCAGAAGAGGTGGGCTGAAGCCTCGTGGAATTGACTGGAAAGACAAGGCACTCGGGACTAGAAGTCCCAGGTTAGCCAGTTACTTCATCCAGTTCCCTCCCTTTCTTTCTATTCCATTTGAATCTACTCTGATGCATTTGGTTTTCTAATATTCACTAAGTGCTTGTGTCAGATAATAAGACATGACCTCTGTGCTCCAGCAGTTCATAGTCTAGTGAAAGGGAGACAGACTGTGGGTTAAGGACCACAAGAAAGGGTAAACATAGTGCTACAGGAGAAGAGAATAATTCATTTTGTACTACATCCCTGGCCCCGCTACCTGTAAACTGTGTGACCTTGGGCAAGGCCCTTACCCACTCTGTGCGTCAGTTTCCCCATCTATACAATGGGGCATCACAGTGGTAACTACCACACAGGGCTGCTGTGAGGATGGAATGAGATAAAGTATGTAGTGTGACTTCTACTGGGTATTTACCCCCAAAAAACAAAAACACTAATTCACAAAGATCTATGCACCCCTACATTTATTGCAGCATGATTTATAATAGCCAAGATATGGAAACAACCTAGGTGTCCAATGATAGACGAAGAGCTAAGGGAGATGTGGTGTACATATACGCAATGGACTATTACTCAGCCATAAAAGGATGAGCTGTTGCCATTTGTGGCAACACGGATGGACCTAGAGGGTATGATGCTAAGTGAAGTTAAGTCAGACTGAGAAAGACAAATGCCATATGATTTCACTTATATGTAAAATCTGAAAAAACTAAACAAATGAATGAACAAACAAAAAGGGTCAGACCCATAAATACAGAGCACAAACTGATGGTTGCCAGAGGGGAGGGGGGTGGGGGGTGAGCAAAATGGGTGAAGGGGAGTGGAGATACAGGCTTCCAGTTATGGAATGAAGAAGTCATGGGAAGAAAAGACACAGCGTGGGGAATATTGACAACGGTATTGTAATAGCGTTGCATGCTGATGGATGGGAGCACGGCATAATGTATACAGAGGAGGAATCGGCATGTTGTACACCTGAAGCTAATGTAGCATCGTGTGTCAACTGTACTCAAATAAAAAAATTTTTTTTTAAATAAAGTGTGTGTGGGGCGCCTGGGTGGCTCAGTCGGTTAAGCATCTGCCTTCGGCTCAGGTCATGATCCCGGGGTCCTGGGATCGAGCCCCGCATCAGGCTCCCTGCTCCGCGGGAAGCCTGCTTCTCCCTCTCCTCCCTGCTCCTGTTCTCTCTCGCTATCTCTGTCTCTGTCTCCAATAAATAAAATTAAAAAAATAAAGCATGTGGTGTGACTTGCATAAGGTAGGATGCTAAATAAGTGGTAGTTCTAAGATTCCACAGAGGAGGAGACATTTTAATATGGGGTCAAAGATAAGTAGAGTTCACCGGGCGGGGAACTAGTATCTTTTGAGTCATGGCTGGAAGAATTCACTCACCTGGATGACAGGTTGATGAACTCACCAGTGTTGCTGAAACTACCGTACTTTTGGAAAGCATCTGAATTTAAAGAAGCCTGTGCTCTCCATTTTGGTCACAGTAACGCTATGGAGTTTAATGGAGCTGATACCATTCCCATTGGATAGACAGGAAAATGGTGGCCTAGAGAACAGTATGGACTTATCCCCACGTATAGCAAGTTAATGACAGGGCCAGGACTAGTCCACAGGTCCCCTGACCTACAGCTGATGCTCTTTCAGCCACCCTGTGCTGCATTTGTGGCGTGTTAGTAGAATAGTGACCTTCGTCACTGTCCCTCCCTCTCCAGGAAAGAAGTTCCCTGCAAGGATGGAGTGAAAAGTCCTATTTGAGGAAGAGCTGAGGGGTTGAAAATAAAAAAGGAAAAATCAACAGAATTTCCTGAAAGTGGGCAGTTGCTTCTAATCAACTGTTTACTCTCTTGAGGCCTCAGAAAGGTAAGCTCTGTGGTCACCCCTTGAGAACTGCCTGGAATCATGGGAAGTGCAAACCTTTGGACCTCCATCTTGATTCCCCATTACCTGAATAAATAACCAACTTGCTTTGTTTTGGCTGCCCTCCACTCGTTGAAGAAAAAGTCAAATCACTGGAAATCAAAGTCAGATTTAAGGGCTCTTTTTGGACTGGGCTCTGTAACTTATGCTGATTCCCATTCACTGCTGCAGACACCCAGCACTGACACTCAGAAGGATTAGTCATTCAATACATGTTAATTGGACATCGACTCTGCAGCAGGCACTGTGCTAGATCTGTGATTTGGAGGCCAGAATTGGGGGGGGGGCGGAATATGATACCATGACCAATGAGACTACGACCAATGAGACTCAGCCTCAAGAAGCTATAATTAGGTAAACTGGTCCACAATTCCTTCCCATAATCCTGAAATCCACAAAGCTGTTAAAACCAAAAGGTTTTTTTTTTTTTTGTAACTAACTTGGTGGTAAAACTTTGAACTGATGTGAGATTATTTTATAATCTTTATCCACTTAGTATAAAATTCACAGTTTATTAGAGAAATATGAAGGAGCTGATTATGGGGTTTTCCTCAAGACCCCACTGGGATGTTAGATAAGGTAACATATGCACTGTATTATCTTTCTAAAATAAAATAAAAAGAGAAGTCTAAATTCTCAAACATATCTGACCCAAGGATTCAGATAAGGGATGGTGGGCCTGTATAAACAAAGCCAAAGAATATGGCCCAACAGATGCCGTAAGGGAGGATGTAAGTATTTTCTGGAACCATGAGTAGGAGAAAGCTATGGTAGGGAGTTCAAAGATGGTAGACACCACTGCGGACCCTCGCAGTTGAAAAACGTCCCAGCCATGTCTTTCAGTTGGAATAGAACAGAGCATTTGGGTCAACAGAGAGAGAGCAAGGACATTCCAGACCAGGGTGAACAATGAAAAATCACAGCAGCAAGGCAGGAAAACCCAAGCTGTGTTCAGGGCAGGAACTGATAATTTTGGAAAAAGAGGGGGAATGGGAGACCAGGCCAGGGGCATCTTCAGTGAGCCCTGAATGACAAAGCTAAGGATGCAACAGGGAGCCAATGAAAGTCAGAACTTTCTGGCATTAGACGTCTGATTTAGCAAATCCAGATTCGAATCTCATCTTTGAAATGTACTTCCTAAGGTAGGAACATTATTTTAGGATGAGCTTATATTTTAGAAGTATTTTCAACAAGAGGTGGACAAAATTTCTGCCTAATTCACAATAAAACACAAAATCCCACTATCCAGAGCCCCGTGTGTTTCCTTAGCAGTCGATTCTTTAATCTAAACTTTGTTGGATTTATCAAGAGTCTTCACATGTGAAGCTGAAGCCACACTTGCCTAAAGGAAGTTTCTGGGCTATTGCCTCGGACGATCCCTGTTGTCTCAGTCTCCTACTATCCCATGGTCACTCTGATAATAATTTTTCAATTAACTCACACACTCGCACCTTGGAAACAGGGCTGAAACTCTTATTTTTATCTTTATTTTTTTTTTTCCCTGAAAGGAAACCCAGGCTGATATGGGCCTTAGCAGTACAACAGCTGGGGAGAGGGTGCAAGAATGAAAGGATTTCCACGCTGATCAGGTGGCCAACCCCATCTTGTGGGTTGCTGGGGAAACACATTTAAAGGCCTCATTCTCCTGGATCTAAGGTTAAAGTGTTACAGAGAAGAAGCAGGCTCTCTCTCTTGCCTTTTTCAGCTTTATACAACAACAGAGCCTCTTGTTTTTTTAGGCCTCCGGTGCAGAAAGCTCACTGAAAACTCTTCTGGAACGGAATACACCTCAAACATTCGAGGACAGTAAAAATCCTAAGCCAGTTTGTCTTTCTTTATCAGTTTTCATTTTTAAAAAGTTGCGAAGTTCAGCTTGTACAGATTAGCACGTGTTTAAAGATGCATGTGTGTACGTGTGTCTTAGGATGTTGGTACCACATTCTAGCTCAGAGAGAGCAGCTTATGCTCGATTATAAGGCACCTCACTGCGCAAGGGCATCTCGCTTGGTGAAATAAAAATGCCCTAGAAAAGTTTCACATGAGTTTGAGTTGTGCAAATATAATTATATTTTAAAATGCCTGAGATCGGGGCGCCTGGGTGGCTCAGATGGTTAAGCGACTGCCTTCAGCTCAGGTCATGATCCTGGAGTCCCGGGATCGAGTCCCGCATCGGGCTCCCTGCTCAGTGGGGAGTCTGCTTCTCCCTCTGACCCTCTTCCCTCTCGTGCTCTCTCTCTCTCATTCTCTCTCTCTCAAATAAATAAATAAAATCTTTTAAAAAAAATGCCTGAGATCTCAATATTTAAATGGATTGTATGTATGGTAATTCTTGTTTTAATCTAATAACTGCTCCCTAATTTGTCTGTTTTGAAATTTTAAATTCTCATGTACTGTTAACACATTTAATTAGCAAATTAATTGGAGAGAGCAGAAAGGAAGTTTAGGATGATTCTGGGTTTTTGCAGTTAACCCCAAAACAACAGAGCTCCAAGTAGCCTGAAATTTTTCACATTTCTATACAAGGATCCTTTATATTCTAAGTGACCAATCTGCCAGTGTGGAAGCTTAAAATGCCCCACTATGTGCATTCCGGTTTTATCTCTGAGCATATTTTATTTCTTGGGTTTTAGTTCTCCAGGTGGTTGCTGGTTGACTTGAATTAGGTTCTCCTGGGGGTTATTTATCAAAATGCAGATTCAATGTGTATTGCTTTTTCAATCAAAAGTTACCTCATCAAAAGGAAATTCAGGTTCCCGGGCCCTACCTGAACCTGCTGGATCAGAATCTCCGGGGGGTAGGGAGCTGAGGTCTGAATCCCCCCCCCGCGCCCCCCCCGCCGCCTTTACCACGTCATTCTTATGCACATCAAGGCGGGGAAACCCCTGGCTTAGAATTTATATAGCATCTACCTCTCTAGTAACCAAACGATTCGATCAGCGAGAGCACCCCATTCCCGAATAAATCTGGATTTCTCAGGCCTGGGTCATTACTGTATTTGTTACACCGCGATCTGACCTCTAAACCCAAATGCATTTTTTCGCTTTTCAACCTGCAATCTTCCCTATTCACTTTCGATAATTAAAACCCATTTTAAAGAAACAATCTACAGGAACTCCAAGAGCACATTTTTAAAGGTTAAACCATGGGGCACACTGTCCTTTAGGGATGGTTCTCCTCTTAACATTTCCATATTAGCTTTTAGTGAAATGCACACACAGACACACGCCCCCACTGCTTCAACTTCCTGGCTAGCTGAACATCAGGTACCCAAATAACAACAATCACAAGCCCTCCTTCCTTTGTTAATGCATTCCAACCTAGCCACCCACGGGCCCATATTCTACGGAGAAGGTTCATAGTCATCATTGTAGAATAAGAGGAGTTCTTACTCTTAAATGACATGGAAAATACCTTTTCCTCACCCATGGAGACTCTGAATCTCGGCTTGAGCATTTGCTCATCTGTCAGAAATATTTTACGAAATGCAGCTACCTGAAGCACGCAGTCATACAGACCCTATAAATCGCCTTTCCAAGCCACCAAAGCGCGATCTTACCTCCCCTCTCCTCACCACCAACCCCCCTTGCTTGTGTTTAAAAATAAAACCCAATTCTGCTGACAACTGGTTTTCTTGCCTCACCACAGGAAGTGGACTGGGTGAGTTCTCACATCACATGTTTAACAGAGGGTCCCGAACGGTGTCTGTGGGACACCTGCCGTTGGCTGGAGGGAGCCCTGCCCGCCCCAGAGCCCCAGAGCCGGGAAGGAACTTCCTGGGCAGCCTTCAGCTCCCGGGAGGTGGGAGGTGCAGCCCGAGTCGGGCCAGCCAGGGCTATTGAGGAGGCTGACTGTGGAACCCGTGGCCTAGGCAACCCCCGTCAGGCTTGGTCACTCACATTGCGGGCTTGTCAAAGGCATCCACCTTTAATCCTTTCCTTTCCCTTGACTTCTCTCTCCAACCCCGCCTCTCCAAATAAATAAATAAATAAATAAGGAAAAGAAAAGAAAAAAGAAAAAAACCAACAACATAAATACATCTGACCTCTTTGCTGTACTTAAAAAAAAAAAATCGTCCTAAACTTCCTTCCTGCTCTCTACAATTAATTACAAATTAGAATCGGGAAGTCATACAATTGATAGTGAAATATGATCCAACCTCTAGAGTTAGGCTTTTGGGCTCAAGAGCAGTGTGTGTGGATCCGAACGAGGTTCATGTTTGTTTTTTTTGTTTTTCTTTTCTTTTTCCCAGATTTATTGAGGTATAAATGGCAAATAAAAGTGTATGTGTTTAAAGCATACAACACGATGATTTGATATAAAATGAGGTTTTGTATGTCAAGAGTTCAATGGTTTACAGAGTAGATTGCATGCACCCTGGGGATGGATGGCTAAAGCAATCCACTGATCTATGGAAGAAACTATCCCAACTCCTGTTTCCTATTTATTGTTTATCTAAAATAGTAAGAAAGAAATTAAGCATTGCACATATTCAATAAACAGACTGTCACTGGTGCCCTCCCCCGGCGTGAGATGACAAGGTGGGCTGTCTTTCTCGGGGAGGAAGGCAAGATCCAAACAGCAACCGGTTAACGTTGATGGTGGGGCATTGAATGTGTGCCCGGACTGTGTGATCTAGTTTTAACTGAGCCAGTCCCTACAAAATGGACAAGGGCTTTGGAAACCACTGAAGATGACCCTAATGATTTAAGCAGAAGAAGCGAGCCACAAGAAAATGGCGGAGTTGACGCTTCTCTCAGGATGAGTTTTTTGTTGGCTACGTTGTGGGATCGACATTAAAAAACAATGATGCCACCTTGTATGGGGACAGATGGCAGCTACGCTTGGGGTGAACACAGCATAATGTCTAGAGATATTGAATCACTATGTTGTACACCTGAAAGTAACGTAATACAGTGTGTCAACTATACTCAAATTAAAAAAAAAATCTTTAAATGATGCCAATGATAATCTAATCATATCTGATAAGTCGGCCCAAATCATTCAAAATTATCTAGTGGACTATTTCAAATAAGGATGTAAAGCCACTACCTTTCACGACAGACTTCATGTGAAGTATATATCATTCTTTGAAATTTTAGTGTTAGTATGAAGGTATTAAAAATTATTGTTTTTAATCTAATCTTTGAATTTCCATTTTTGTATGTTTTATGAACATGCATAAAACTTATAAATGAATACACATATTCTAGAAGTAAATATTCCACATATCTTTCCTGATAGGAGTGCAAGATTACTTTGGAGATCAGTGCTGTCGGTCATAGAGCGTCAAGCTGTCCTCAGGTTTCGGGGAAGATCAGGTGACCCCTATCATATATAGGAGAGCAGATGCCCTGAGAGAAAAGGACCTTAGCCTAAGGTTAACAGTGCTAGTTAGTAACATCTCCTAGACCAGAAAACCAAGGTCCTAAAGAATGAGGTGACAAGGTGAATCAGGGACAGGGCCCAGATTCTTCTGATTCTCAGTCCAGTACTCTTCTTAATGGGCCCAGAGTTGCCCCTCTAAACACATATAGGGAAACATTGAGGAGGAAAACTGAACAAACACTAGAAACTCGAGCAGAATTGAAAACCATCAGAGTAGAACCCAAAAACCGTAGGCAGACAGCCACCGAGACCTACCTATGCCTTTTATACTTACAATAACTCCTGGGTAATAACCTCCGACGGTCACATTCTGGGTCCTGGTGGTGGCGGCAAGGCCCACCGTGAGAATTAACACGGACACAATGAGCAAAGTCACAGTGACATAGATGGAGTTTCGTTTCCTTCGATTGAAGGCTCCTGAAAGCACACAGAGAAACTGAAATTGCTCATTTCGGCCAGAGAAGGAATGGACTTAAAGGAAAAATCATTAGGAAGGCCTTTCTTTCCCACTCCAACTGGTTGCTGGGGTTACCTCTGTGGAGTGGAATTACGGGGAAGGGATGGGGCTTCAGTTTTTGTTTTGTTTTGTTTTTCCGTCATCAGGTGCCACATTTACAATTTAAAAAAATCCATATTTTCAGTTGGAAAATGAACAACAGAAGAAATCTTACCAGTTACATAAAAACGAAACAAAAACAAATTTTTGTGCTTTCGGCATTCTACAAAAGATGTGTCATACCCACTTAGTAGAGTGTTTTTTTAGGCCAAATTATAAGGCATACGATAAATGGGAACTGTGCGTGTGGAGGTATTAAATGAAAATATTTTAAAGCCAATATACGACCGAGAAAGGTTTTTTCATAAGCTGGAGATAGGAAATTTCATTTTCAGTGTAAATATCACAACCAAGTCAGGTACTGGGATTTTTTTTTTTCATTTATTTCTGACATTTGCCACCTCATGTATAAACTTTAAAATGGTGTGTTGGCAAGATCTGTCACATAACAAATGTGTGTAATAAAGTAAGTGTTTGGAGGCCATTAGTCCACAAAGATATGTATCGGGGGAGGCAGATGGGGAAGATTATAACTTATGCACATTTAGGCTTATGTGAGGGTGACATAAATATAAATGACAAGAAACCCGTTCTCCTATTCAGTGCTTATCAGACATGATAGCGCAAACCAATATTTTTTTCGAAAACAGGCTTATTAAGTCAGATAGAAAAATGGTATCTAGGCTTGCTTTTGAATTTAAATTTTTTTTTTAAAGGAATCGAGCACCACTCCACACTCTGCCCGCATTTCTCCGGGGGCCGGGGAAGGGGCTCTCAGCAGGAAATACCAGGCATGAGTCCCCCCCCTCGGAGTTCTGTAAACAGAGGCAAACGGGGAGGGGGGGGCTGGCAGGAGAGTCCAGTTCTCTAGTGAGAAGGATGAAGCGGGGGGGGGGGGGGGGCCTTATGATGGGGTTGCCCACCCAGGTGGCTTGAGTGGCATTTATGGGCCTAAAGAGGCCACTAGAATCTGCTCCCAGGACCCCATCGTTCTGAGAGGCCTCACTGCAGCCTCAGGCAGCAGCTGCCTTTGAAGCCGCCCAGACTGCACCACTGGGAGGGAGGGGAGAGGGGATGAGGGAAGGGGTAGGAGGGGAGACAGCCAGCGAGACCCAGAGGCCAGGTGTGGGGGGGGGGCTGTGGTTGGCTGCGCAGCTGCCAGGCGATCTGCCCTCCTGGTGTGGACCAAAGCGCCCGGAGAGCCACCCTGGGTTCGGCCCACCATCCATCTTGTCTTCCCCATGCGGGCCCTGCCGAGGGCTCCAGGGGAGGTGGGAGGGGCTGGCGGTCTCCCCTGACGTCAGCCTGGAAAGTGAGGGGCATGACTCATCAGGGTCATTTCTAATGCGATCCCGTCCTGAGACTATTTCACATTGAAATGTCGAAGTGGTTGGAGCCCTTACAGGCACCCACAGACTATAAAGCACCAGACCTCGCCCTGGGAGCAGAGGGAGGGAGAGTTGGGAGATGAGGCTCCTCTCCAGTGGGACCTGAGTCCAGTCTCCACGGGGAAGAGCATAAAGGACCACTAGTGACACCTGTGACATCAGGGCCCTTTGTGAGAGCCAGCTATTTGGGATGCAAATGGCAAGCTGACTGGTGGAAACACCGCAAGCAGGGCTGGGAGAGGCGGCCTTGAGGGGTGGGGGAGAGATGAGGGGGGCCAGGATTTATTTCCTGTTCACCTGAAGGTTAGCTATCCTTCGTGGGCATCTCGAGGGGCCCTAAATGAGCGTCTAAGCCAGGGTCCCGGAGTCTATTTGATGATGGATGCTTCTCGGTGAATCTGCGAGCTGGTTCCGCAGAGGGGCTCTAACATAAACCTACCAACATCGCCTCCCATTCCACCAGGCTTCTCCTCTGTCGCTCACCCCGTCTTAGCCCTCCCCTGCCTCAAATTAGCAAAAGACGGTGAGGGAACATCTGGAGACACCAAGGGTATCTTTGTGACACCGAAATTGTCTCAACACCTCACACGGAAAACATATAACTTGGGGGAGTGTGTGTATGGTCTTTCTAATTTTTTTCGGTATCACTTGCCTGTTCCTTCCCTGCCAAGTGGCTTTAAATCCTCTTCACAGCTCTTGGGTCTCCTTTGCAAATATCACTCTAGCTCTTAAAAGCACAGGAGCTAGGTCAGAAAAGTGACTCAGCAAACCACATGGTGTCATTTGAAAATCTATTTTTTTTCCCCTTGCTTTAGAACCTGAATTGAAAATCCAGTCAGTTGAGAAACCCGGGCAGAGATCTTACAGATTTACAGGGGCCTTGCCTCCAGATAGGATTTGCTTTGAAAATTCCTAAGAAAACTCTCTCATCACTAGTTTGAAGATCTCTTCTCTGTCCCCCTGACACCCTACCCCAAGTCACCCCCTTCTTTACGCTAGAAGGACTGTAATTGTGTAAGATGAAATTATTTCTAGTTGCACCTGGGGAGTTGACCATCATAAGGAACCCCAGGGCAAATGCTTTTAAAAAGTGAAGAATCACCTCTCCATTTACCTTTAGTGTTAATTCGACTTGAAAGTCACATCTACTTAGAGCAAGACACACCTGTTCTCTGAATGTGTGGTTCAGGCTACTAAAAGGTAGCTCATTGTGTCTGTTTAGGACATTTTCCTGGTGGCTGTTTCATTTTAGAAGGGAGCCCTATTCTTACTAAGGTACAATTTGGGGCCTGCCTTAGATGTTCCCAGGAACACAGGAACATCAGATTCTGATTTTGTTTAGTTAGTCAACCTACCAAAATCTTCTGTCCCATACCAGGACGTACTTGAATAAAGCAGGAGCTACTTGAAAACAGTGCCTATCGCAGGGTTTGATACCTAGAGAGCAGTCAGTACTTGTTGAATAAACAAGAGGCAACATATCAGAATTTCTTCCCTTCTAATCAAAAAGACGTGTGTGTGTGGGGGGGGTTGTATGAATAAATATAGCTGGGTTCGTAGAGTTGATTTTTAAAAATAGGGCACACCTATCGGGGTCCCCAGAATTAAAAGCCTTCTGGTCAACTAGTACCACACAATCCCAATGTCTCTCACTGGCCTGTCTACTTGGTGCCCAGTATATTTCTGTTTGAACAACAACCACCATCCCTGCAACCATCAGCGGTGGGAGAGTCTGAAATCCTGTCATTGGCCTGCCCCCCCCTTCTGCCCCTACTGCAGCCCTCCCTCTCTGCAGTGCCCTATCTCCACCCCAGATTCCTGATGACCAGGATGCTCAGCTCTAGAAGCGCCCAATTATTTGCTGTCTCCGCCCTTTCAGATACAGCCTGGTCCCCCCCCTTCCTCCTTGGGCAGAGCCCCCACCTGCACTGCGGTCTTCGAATCTGAGTCCCTCCTTTCCTCTAAAACCTGCTCAAAACTCACCTCCTCCTAAAGTTTTTCTTACCAAGCCTATTGTACCCTAATTGCTCATTATTTCATGTCCCAGAGTTCCTATATACCTTACTCAATACACATATTAATTGTAACTGCCACAACTACTGTTGTAATTGTGGGTCTGGTACCCAAGCCCTATGATAAATCCAGTTCCAGGATTATGTAGCTGACGGGAATGAAGGTGTGGGTTGCCAGAAGGTGGGATGATTTTCTCTGCTTACTCATGTTTTACCTTGTGCATGTTCTCGATTATCCCCTTGATTATAGGGTATGTAATCGCTATCAGAGTGAAGCCAGGACAGGGGCCCAGTAGCCTGTCCTGTACACTATGTTGTTGATGACTGGCTAATTCGGGGGCGGGGGCTCATCTTTTGAACCAAATAGGGTTTGCTTACCTGAGTCAGCTTTGCCACACAGGGAGGGTCTCGGGAAGTCCCAGCCTCGGTACATCGGTGGAAACAGGTGGCTGCCCACACAAGAGCCTCAAGGCTCTGCCAATCTCCCAAACATTTCCTTAAAGGTGCTGATATCCCGCCCCCTCCCCCCTTTTGGAGTTCTTTAACCAGAGACGTCCAAGGCCACTGGTGAATTACAAATGTGTTGTTTGGGAGGGAAGGAGTGCCCCGCTGTAGTAGAGGTGCCTCAGCGCCTGGGGGCGGTGTTGCCAAAAGGGAGAAGGGGGTTGCTGGCAGGGGGATGTAGGGGGGCTGGTCAAATTACCATCTTCATATTGCCAAACGCCCGCTCTGCTCCGAGCCTTGGACGAACCGTTCATCCCCAGACAGCCAGCAAACGTAGCGTGCAGGCACCTTGGTGCAGTGTGTATCCGTGTGTTTTAAATGTTATTGTTTGCGCTGCGGTTGTGTCTTGCCTGTAGGGGGAATCCCCTCAGAAATGCTGCCCCTTGGGGGCTGAAACACTAACCCCCACCTCCACTTCCCCTCCCCCGCCATGCAAGGGAAGGTGGCGTTGCCAGAGCTGAGTTAAGTGGGAGTAACTCCTAAACAGCCTAGACGCTGATTCAGGCCTGGGTTGTGCGGGACCCGAGCCAGGGAACTCCGGGGAGACTCCCCTGTCCAAACTGTGGAAACCCAGGGTTACCACTCGACTCAGGAATTTGCTAGTGCCCTCGGTCTGCGGACTTTACAAAGCGGGATGCGTGGAGCAGGCTCGCGCGTCTCTAAGGGCTCTATGATTCTTTTCCCGCAGTGTCGAGTCTGGGCGAAGCCCACTCGACTTCTTGTTGCGCAGACCTTTCGAGAAACGTAAGATCGGCCGAGGGCCCCTGGGAGCCCAAGAAAGAACTCTCTTATGTCTTGTTCCCTAACCCCCAGAGCCGTGTGCCAAGGGGCAACATTTAAAGCCCTGGGCCCCTAACCTGCCCACTCCCCCACGGGCAGGCCGCCCGGCGCGAGAGGCCGGCTTCGCAGGTGGTTGTGGCCCGCTGCGGAAATGCGCGCTGCGGGCCCTCGCACTCTTGCACCCAGACCTCCCTGGCGCCAACAGTCCCGCGTCGGGGAGCCAGGGGCTGCGCTGGCGCCACAGCTGGCCAAGGTGAGGAGTGCATTCTGTGTTCATGTGTGCGCGCGTGCGTGTGTGTGTGTGTGTGTGTGTGCGCGCGCACTTGTGTTAGACAGCTGGGGGAGTCTGGTACTGCTGGATTCTGGATTCGGACCCAAGTCCTTGGCCTCATTTGGGCCACGTTGCAAATAACCAGACCCTTAAAAATAAAAAAAAGCAAATTCTTATACTGAATATGCAAAGCCATTGAAAATACGGATCTTCCCACCATCTAGGAGATGACACTTTCTGGGGGCCCCTCCGGTGAACGAATTCTGTTGAGACCCAGTCTTATGCAGGCAGTAGGGAGATCACATAGGGGGGGTTCAACCCTCTCCCCGCTCCCTCCTCTTGAGATGTTCCCGCAAATTCATCGGCGACCTAGCAGATTGGATGGCAGGAATTCGGGACGGAGGAAATTTGCAGAATGTAAAGTATGTTGGCAAGAGATAATTCGATTTGGTTAGAGTGTATCCGAGGCGAATTTTAAGATTAGGTGGGATCATGGTTTGACAATCCCCTCCCGCTCTCCTGGGCTCCAAATTAATTTCTCCGCCCAGTGAAATCATAGGGCTTGGGAAGGTGCCTAACAGCTGAGGGGGACTGGGTTTGTGTTTTGTTTCAAACTACCAAAAAGCAGCTTCGAGGGGCAGCCAAGTTGGTGCCTAGAGGTAGCTGCTCCCCAGATGTGATGAGGGAAAGTGTTGAACCAAATCAGGCTAGTGGGTCCCCCCCCCCTCCATTCCACCCCCAGAGAGAAAGCGCGACTTCAGAAGATGCGCGGGCTCGCGCTCGCTCTTTCTTTCTCGCCCTCTCACTCGTCCCCCCCCACCCACTTTTTTTTTTTTCACACTCACGCACATTCCGTGCCTTTGGAGCAGAATAGGAATCAAATTCAAGGAATGTTGATCCTGCTGCTGCAGACAGCGGGGCTGGGCTGTCTTGAGTGATTCCTTAGGAATTCCCCTCCCGCCAACCCCTCTCCTCTCTTCTCCCCCCACCCCCGCCCATCCCCCAGGGTTCCGCAAACCCCCCCATCAGCGAGTTGCAAGTCCGCCCCCCCTCCACCACCACTGCAGCTCTGAATTTCTGGGCACCTTCGACAGAGTTGGGAGGGGGCGAGGACTCTGCTTCTCCTAATTGTCGTTAATCGTGAGCTCTTAGAAGTGACGGGGACTTTGCAAAGAGGGAGCGTCGAATGGAAAGCGGAGGCGCAGGTTGCAGGCAAGCGTTTTGATCCCCAGACAACTGGAATTTACCACCGGCTGCAAGTCTTCGGCACACGCACACAAACACGCACACACCCGCACTCCGGGGCACGGATACTCCGACGCAAGCTTGGCGCTCGCAGCTCCGCGCGTCGCCCCCGCCCCCGCCGGGCCGCTCCCCTGGAGCTCTGGCCCGCGACCCAGACCCTGGGGCACGCGAACCCCCTGCCTAGCCCCGCTTCCCGCTCCCTGGATCCCGGGGCGACCGGGGCGCTCGTAGTCCAGAGGGCAGCGCACTCACCCCCTAGCTGCCGCCGCCCCTAGGAAGGGCAGGATGCACTTACCCATGGAATCGGGCAGGGACATGTCGCTGGACCGCTGCTGAGTCAGGGACTGATGCATGGTGAAAGCTGCCCTGTGGCCCCGGTCCCCGAAGCTGCTTCACGCGGCCCCGGCTCAGGGCGCCCCGCAGAGCATTCTACTCCGCGGCTGCCGCTCCCCGTCCCTCCGAGAGCTGAGAGAGACTGCCTCTGGTTGCGAGCTGCAGCCCAAGGGCCGCCTCCCCCCCTCCCCTCCCCTCTTCTCCCTCCCTCCTCTTCTGCCTCCCTCTGCTCCGGGAGGCAGCAGCATTGGCGGTCCGAGCAGCGGCGTGCGCTTGCGCAAGACCCCCCTTCCCTCCCCCTCGGCCCCCCCATCCTAGTTAATCCACCTCCCAGCCTCCCAAGCCAGACAGGGAGCCGTTTTAGCCCCTTGGGGCCAGGGCTGCGCAGAGAAAGAGGGGGAGGCTACAGCCTGGGGCCAATCGGCCTTCTCTGTAGTTTGGAGAGAGGGTCTTGGGCAAGCATCCTGTTCTAGGATTTATAATTGGGGAGGGGGCAGAGTCAGAGGTTCAGAGCTGATGAATACACACGCGCGCGCGCGCACACACACACACACACACACACACACATACATTTGTGCAGGTTTGGTCTTAGTGCTTCCAGAATGACATAATGGAGCTGGAGATGATCCAGAGAAGGGCCACTCTATAATCAAGGGGATGGGGGAGGGTAGAGGGGGCTGCCATATGAAGATAGATTAAACAAACGCAGACTCTTTAGTCTAGAAAGATGAAGGCTGGGAAGGGATGTGACCAGAGTGTATAAAATTATGCAGAGATGGAGAGAGGGAACACAGCCTTATTCACCAGATCCGAGAATTCTAGAACCAACAGACCCCCTAAGAGCTAGATGGAGATTCAGCTAAAGCAAATACGACTCTGCATCAGCACCATCCCAGTTTGTGCTTTGGTCAAGATGCTTTTAGATCAAGGATCTCATTTTCTCCTCACAGCAGCCATGCAAGGCAGGAAGAGGAAGCATCCATAATCCCATTTTACAGATGAAGAAACTGAATCTCAGACAAGGCACGAAAATGTCCTGTAGCCACTCAGCCAGTCAGTGGCAGAGGTGGGATTTGAACCTAGATCTGTGGGACTCCCAGGGCAGGGCTCTTGCTGCTATGGCAGCCAAAAAGAATGGCACATCGAAAACCTAAGGCATTCATTAACCCCAAGAGGGGCAACAGGATGAAAACACAGGTAGCTTTGGAAAGAGTGAAATAGCCATGGCCGCCGGAATCCACTGCGGATTGCCAAGGGAAACTGAGGGTGAAGGGGGGATGTCCTTGATCTTGGAGGACAGCAAAGTCCCTCCCAACCAATCCTTCCAGACCCCATTAAGATATGGGGCTGGAATCACTACGTGGTCAGCCCAGAGGGTGGTTTTGAGTCCTCGAAACAGTAGCAGAACAGAATGAGGCGGAAGGGGAGGAAGAGGGTAACAGCGGGCTGGCAGTTCCCTCTGGCAACTCAGCCCCATGGTCCCTGCATCCCACGGAACTTACCTGTTTGAAGACATCCATTCTGTCCCAGTGAGAGCCCCCAGGTCCTCATTGCCCGGTGTCCTTCCAACCACCTCCCCTGATGATTGGGCCAACCCTCTTTGCGTGTCCTCCAGGAAAAAAAAAATAATAAAAGAAAAAAAAAAGAAATCAAGTATAAAACTCTCCTGAGAGTTGATGGGATATAGAAGAGAACTTGGTTCTTTCCAGCTCCGGCTAATCTACTGCGAGGCTTTGTTTCCTTATCCATGAAATGGAACCAAGGGCCCTTGCCCTTTCCCATCCTCCAAAGGAAGAAAAGACGCTTCCTGAAGGTTAAAAAGGAAGCCCTTTGTAAAGCACTTGGGCACCCCAGGGGCCCGGCTGAATGCTGTGTCAGGGTATTATTAGCAGCCTTACACTATAGATGTGGTTTCGAAATCTGTGCTATATGTCCTAGATAGAGACAAGATGCCCACTGGTGTAGGGGTGTGTGTCTTAGGCATGCTTGGCTCATGTGTTAATCTCTGTAAGCTCCACAAAGGCAGAGAGCAGTCCTGTACTGATATTTGTCTTCAGTTCTGTTTACTTACCTCTCCCCACCCCTTTCACTCTAAATATCTCATATATTTAATGTGAAGAGCTCCTGCAACCAGCATTGATTTCTCAGGAGGACTTCCTAACTAACTGATTTTGTTTCTGTGAAAGTAACCTTGAAGAAACGAGGGTTTACATAGACTGGAAAAGACAGGCTTCCCCATTCTTTAGAGATTTTGGCTCCCCTCTAGCAACCAGAGAGCTAGAGATCCCTGAAGAAGCCAAATAGAAACTTGTTACTGTGCTGGTTTCAATGGACAGAGGCCTTTCCACTTTAGCACATTGCCCACTAACTAACACAGAAGGCCTATGTAATGTGACCTTTATAATCAAAGCCAGAAACGAGTGAGGTACCCTTAAGGGTGGGCAGCTTGCTTTGTGTAACATCTGTATTCCCAAATCCTGTGTGAAAATTAAAAGCTATTTTAAAAAATATGAGTGGAGCTGGCTATTCAAAAGAACTGCGTACTGTATATTTCCTTCATCCTGTCTCTTGGGGTACCTTATGGGACTTGGAACACAGCAGGCTCTCAGTCAAGTTAAAAATGACTTTGAGACCAGGAGCAGTGACCATGGCAGAAGCTGCATCAGCTCAGGGAGTAGTAACAGTCTTCTCCCCAGAGATGGTGCGCTTATTTGACAGAGGATCTGGGATAAGGGGAGGGACTAGAACGGGAGCTTGGGAAAGAAAGAAAAAAAAAAAGCAACCCACATTTCAACCAAGCCTGGCACAAAGACCCCCTTTCCTCAAAAAAAAAAAAAAAAAAAGAAAAAGAAAAAAGTTCTTTTACTCCGAATGAGCTGGACAATTAAAAAGCAAGAGGCAATTTTTTCATGGGCTCCATCCTGATTTTTTTAAAGATTTTATTTATTTATTTATTTGAGAGAGCGAGAATGAGAGAGAGAGAGAGCACATGAGAGGAGGGAGGGTCAGAGGGAGAAGCAGACTCCCCGCTGAGCAGGGAGCCGGATGCAGGACTCCAGGATCACGACCTGAGCCGAAGGCAGTTGCTCAACCAACTGAGCCACTCAGGCGCCCCTGATTTCTTTTTATGTCAAAACGCATATAGATTTTATACAGTAATAGGCTCATAGTAAAATTTACCAATAGGAAAGCCACCTAGATGAAGGAAGAGATCTTTCATGCCAGTAAAGGCTACTATAAAACTGCTTGGTTAACTTCTGATAAAGAAGAAATGATTAAAATGGCTTAAAAATAAATCCTTTTCATTGCAAGCTTAATCAAGCATACAATGTTGCCCTAGGTTGCAAACTGTTTTATAGCACGAGGAAACGTTTGCCAATGGGGCTGCAGCCTGCTCCTCTCCATCTTCTTCAAACCAATGATGAGAGCGCTCCCCAGAAGCCTTTGGACCACTAGAAAAAGGCCAGATGGTGCTCTGTCTCTAACACATTCACCCTGAGCATAGCCATAGCACTGCGTCAACCTCCTTATTTTGATGATCAATTTCACCAAATTGCTGTAGCGCCTTCCTGATTCCAGATCTGAGAAATGTGGGCCGGTGGAGTCATGTCCCCATGGATACATACACTTAAAGGCATTCATGCATATTTGGAATGGTGGCCACCAAGTACTCACAGAAGCATGCATACACATACATGGTTAGAGCCCAGCCATTCTCTGTCCACCCTGGTTATCACCACCCACCTCTCAGCTCCTAGGCTTGAGTCCACTAAGGATAGAAAGGAGCTTCGGAATAATGGAGAACCTTGAAGAGTCCAAACATCCCTAATTGAGATTGGAGCTGTACCTTAGGTCAATGTCTAGTACCCAGCGCCTTTGCCACAAACTGCTGAATCGTCATGTTTGATGGTGTGATTTCACCCTCGAAGCTTGACTGTTTCCCATTGTCAGCTGCTCATTTTCTTTGGGCACCAGGAAAAAGCACCACAGCACCAGGGAACAACGCTGGTACTTGTCTTTGCTTTGTCACTGTTTTCTTCCTATCCCAGTGACAAAACATTATAGTTACCAAACACTGTGTTTTTCAATACCACTAAGAAAATGTTGGTAACACAATTTATTTATTTATTTGAGCGAGAACACGAGCAGGGGGAGGGGGAGGGGCAGAGGGAGAAGCAGACTCAATGCCAGGACCCTGAGGTCATGACCTGAGCCAAAGGCAGACGCCCAACCGATTGAGCCACCCAGGCATTGTCCTCCAAAGTGTTTGTAGCAAAGAGTCTTCCCACCATCAGCATGTCCAGCATGTGTGTGGATTCTCCCAGTCTCTTGGCTTTGCCTTGCAAAAGGAGATGTTTGAGCACTTAAGACACACCTGGTTATGGCCAGCGATGGGAGGCGCCAGCCAGGAAGCTGGATGGGAGTTCAGCCGGGCACTAAGCATCTAGTGGAAACCACAGATCTAGGAGGCAGAGTCTGAGAGCAGTCCCAGTAAGGAGAAAACACAGTGTCACCGTCCACAAGAACCTTAGAAACCTCCAACTGCTTAGTTGTTTTCATTGTTGTGTTCATCATTGTGCTCTGTTGTACATACCCAAAGTACCTCTTTTTCCGTAGCTTTCAAAATTTCTGTAATGATCACTTAGTCATGCCTGGTCCATAGTAGGGACTTACATACCTGTTGAATATATGGCACTTTTAATCTATTGCTTTTTTTCTGCTTACTGGAATAAAACATGACACTGTAAAAATTCTCCAAACTGCAGAGGTACATGATGCAGCAAATTACCCTCTCCCCTACAATTCTACTCTCCAGAGATAACAGTTTATGGGTTGAAATGCATTTTTCCTGATTTTTTTTCTCCACACGTACTTTTGTCAGATTGTTTTGAGAATGGAATACTCCTTTTTAAAAGTAAACTTTTTCAATAATAAGATACAATATTTTTTAAGTGTTGTAAGTTGCATTTAATAACTTTCAAATACACCACATCAAAGTCCATCTTCAGTCAATCAAACC